GCATTCAATTGATCCCATTGAATGGAATTCAAATGAAATTTTATAAGGTTAAATTGAGCGAGAGCTCAAACTGTATTTGCAGCCGTCGCAGCACCAGCAGCACTACCATCACGTTCGCCGCACACATATGCATTCATTCATTACGAAGCTATAAAAGGCCATCATCGACAATGAATATCTGATTTCCGAGCATTTTCTTTCTATTTTTTTTTTCATTTCACCCATGAACAATAAAGCCAGCCAATTTACAGCGAACATTCAAATAAAAGAAGAAAAAAAAGTGTATCTCTAAACGCTATCTTGCAAAAAAAAAAGTGGCGTAAGTTTCCGGTTGGTCGTTGGTTTTGCCTAGTGAGTCTCTTCTTTTATAGAGGCGGTCCGAACGACACACTTTGACCCATATCGATGGAATGGCGCTTTCAAATTAACTTCATTTATTAAATTATACTCTGTCCCTTCACTTGATGCACTTTCTTCTATGCAAATTGATCAAGAAAAGATGCAATTTCATGTTGAAAGCATATGAGATGGCTACGGCTACGGTCACATTCCATTCCCAACAGCTGTGTGTATGGTTGTAATGGAAAATGATGAACTACATTTCCATTATGCCGACCATGGTTTAGATTTCATTTCGAATGCCAAAATGCTTTGTCTCTTCCCCGGGCAAAATAAATGTGATTTTTCTTCTTCGTCGTCGTCGTCAAATTGTTAGTATGCCATGAACTTAATAACGAACAATTTTCGTTCCATTTTTTTTTTTGCTTTTTTCTGCAGTGAAGCGAGGAAAAAAGTTATGGAATGTGTTCGCATTATATGAGAAACTTTGTTCCTTTTTTCTGCAACAGTCCAAATGGTTTCGGAATCACCGACGATGTTGTAGGAAATAAAGGAAAAGGTGAAAATAGCGTGAGAAGTCACGCTACTTGGGTTTGTTCAAGAAAGAAAAAAAAACCGAAGAAAATACTCTGCACACACGAAAATTGATGAGGCCAAAATAATAAGTACTGAACTAAATTTCATCGACCTGGTCGCTGGTTGGCACACAGCGGAACGAACAAACGAATTATTTTTTAGAGCCATTTCTTACTGAGGGGGGAGGGTTATAATATAATATGAGAGCTATTAATTTTTTTGTTTTCTTCTTCAATTACCTGTTGATGTCCAAAACACGTACAAAACAAGGCAGAATATCATCAGCACTCCGGCTGAGTTGCGAAAATAAGTCAAGAGGTTGGTTTCTAAAATGCGCGGCATTCTTATTTAAATATGAAGTACACTCTTGGTTTTTGGAAGTAGTTTGCCTTAAGTTACGATTTTAGATGCACTTTTATCAAGAAAGTACACACTGCACAGTGGACACACGACAATTTATGACCGAATCGTGTGAATACACAATTCATACACACTTGATATACGGGTAGGAAAACAGGAAAATTAATGTTTTGAATTTAAATCACAATATCTGTGCTATCTACAGTGAATGTTTATGGTTTTATATTTTTTTCCTTCTTTTAATAAGGATAATAATGTTGAAAAAATTTCAAGCGGCTGTTAGAAGCAGAACGAGGAGATGTGCACTGAATACATCTGGTTCTGTGCACGGCACCGTATTGAATGAGCGTAAAACAAAGCTTAATTGGGTACACTCCACTTGAAATTAGTCATGTCATGCAATTCACACTAGTTTTTAGTGTTGTTTAAACACCGTACACTTTTTTCAATGTGTGTATGTCTCTTTCTCTTTCTCCTTTTTCGTAAACAAAACGTCATGCATCCAAGTGGAATCAATTGCATTAGACATTCAACGGACGGTAAATATGTTCAGTGTTTCTTTTGTGTAATCAAATGATAAATATTTTCCATCAAATAAATCAGTGTTATTTTCCTTTGTCACTCATCGATTCAAACTGACTAAAATGTTATATTTAAAAAAAAAAAAACCACAACAAAAATCGGAAAATATTCGGTTCGATTATCTAATCGTACAAAAATCACGGGCACTTAATCAATTCAGAAATTGTGCGAACAATATTCTATTTACAGTTCATGACAATCATAAATACCGATTGGCTGTGTAATTTCGCGAACGCAGTCGAACGACGGACTGTCCAAATTTCGAAGTTCAGATATTGCACTGCAATTTACACCATTGCCATTCGATGGCCCGAGTTGAGTGTGTCGCACAACGCTTGACTGAGGCCAAGAATCGATGCAGCAGACACACGTTCGTTTGCCAAACAGCATACCAAAGCACACATTCACAGATGGTAAAAATTCCAAAAGCGAGAGCAGAGCTTCTTTTGTGTATCTATTCGATTGGAAATCTGAATATGTTCGGCTTTGCTGCTACTGCTGCATCCACATAGAACCAATGGATGTGTGTGTGTGTTGGTTGGGTTCGCTATGGTTAGTCGAATTGCGGTTGCTTTGGCGTTGTTACTGCAGTAGAACGACTGAATAATTTATGGCCATTACACATAGTTCGGCTGCCGTGTGTACTATGCGATGCTGTAGCTTTATTGCTTTTGTCTATGTTTATGTTGCTTTTGGCAATTTTTCTTGTTTTTTTTTTTTGCCCATGTGTAACCCGCTCAACACGACCAAACTATCTCTCCCTTTTTCTCCGTCTCTTGTGCTCCCCCTCGCACCAGCGTTCGCAGAGCGTTGAAAGAGAGTGTAAGAGAATAGAGCACAAAGTAAAGTAGCCCAAAGACACGATCAAAAAGAGTGAATCGCCTGAATTCCCGTACCGAAAGTCTTCTCTTCAGTCTAATCCGGTCGAGTGTGTGTGATTGTGTCGTTTTGTTCTGTTTTCTCTATGGTTTTTCGAGTTAGAACTCAGCCACGTACTTATATTAGAACATGACACTTCACCTTCGAGTGTCGTGTGTCAGTTTTTTCTTAGGTGGATCCGTGTGTGACAATCCTGTCATTGGATTCTACAATCTACATACCGGTGCTTAAGACAACTTGCTCGCTTATGAACGACAATCAAAAATGCACACCATATGAAAGCATTCACTGTCGTCGTCGTCGTCGTCGTCGTCCGTGTTCCATTTAAGCACGATATTGCCTGTTGTTGAGTTGCAGACTTGAACAGTCGCGTATTCTTGTACGCGAAAAATAGCACACACTCACTAAATTCTACTGTGATGTGTGTTGACCGCGGTTGTTTCTTTGGTCGTCATAAACAGTGGGGCAAAAGGTCGCCACTGTGTTGACCGCATTCGTATAATTTTTGTCATGCAATTCCGTATTTTGTGTGCACCACTTTGCAGCCAAAAGATGACACAGAAGAAAAAAACAAATGTATTCACAATTTTTGTTATGGCCGAAACTGAGATGAATTCATAAGACAGAGCACGTGTGAGAGCGAGATGAGACAGACAGAAAAATGCTGCATAACACTGTTTATTTCGAACTAGTTTGACTCAACACACGATGAATGTAAACATACAGACTCTATCGGAATTAAGTATATGTGCGCGGCAACAGTCAATAATATGGTAAAAAAAAAGGTAACAAAATCAAGACACTTTGTCGCGTTTGTGTGTGTTTTTTTATTTCTTTCGAAATTAAAAAAAATTAACATAAGAAAAAAACAGCACTATTTAAACGAAGCTTGCGCTTCTATTTTGTAGATACCGCAGTTGTTGCCGTTGCCGCCGCCGCTCAGACTACTGTTTCCATCATAGTACGTATTCGATGGATACACTTTCGCTATTGTTGTTGTCTCACCGATTTATTTTTGTTTTTTTTTTTTTCTTCTTCACTTTACCTACACACTATGTTTACAGTTACATAAACAACACTTTTGCTATGATTGACGCGACCAAGTGCAACTTTAATGTTATTTTTTCTACCCTCTTTGATTCTATATTTATGTGCCAATCGAAAAATTTCGATGCCAAACCGTGCGATTTTTTATTCTGCGACGAGGTCAACAGTAATCATTTTTTTTTTCTATCTCTCTATAACAAACGCTTCATTTTTTCCTTTCTGTATTCAGCAACCACGACAACGATGACACCAGTAGATAGATGAGGGAGAAAGAGAGAAAACACGTCTGCTTGTCTATAGATGTAAGAATGTCTAGCGTGTATACAGACATTCCATTAAAAGAGTGCACCGCGGACACGAAATTCACCTAATAATAACAACCGAGTTACACGAAATATTCGTGTGTACCAAGCGATATAGTTATTTTCCCAATTTCGCTGTTTGAAACTGTTCGGTTTCACGTTTATGTTTACCGATACACACGTCTTTCTTACATCGCAACTATGAATCGACTGGTCTTTTCATTCAACGCGCGAGATGTGTGTTGTGCTTCGACGTTATACTCTCTCTCTACCACCATTCGTATTCAATTTATATGAATATAATTATATTGAATAAAAAAGGTGATTCATGCGATTGAGTCGCATTATGCGAAAATCGCATGTATGGCACGTATAAATAAGGTCCGATTTCGTATAATGGTTGTGGAAGAGAGCCGGTTTTTCGATCACATTCGAATCAAACTAACTTCATGGCAATCGTTTTGAATTGGCATTGACAGGTGTTTGAACGTTGAGCTTCACATTTAAGCCGTCGGTTTTTGAAGTCATTTCGGTCATTTTTAGTCGTTTAATGCGTTTTTAATGACCCTAAGAACAAAATGACCCTATCATCAGTGCATCTTTATTGCAATCTTCTCTTTTGAGGTATTTTTTGGACAAAATTTCACATTTTCATCACTTTTCACTCAAAGTGATTTCAGCAGAAAAATCATGAAAAGTGGATTGATTGTGCTTCGCTCCGCAGTGTCATAAGCGACATCGCATCAAGTGGAAAAACTCACAGTAAGCTTCATGTATTGGCCAAATTTCACTCAAAGCAAACGGAAAGAAACAGAATATTTTATGAGATGGCACGAGTAATTTTACTCATTCGCTTATATTTCGTTCATATTGGCTCTTCCCAGTGTTCCCCTTCATTGAGCATTCAATTGACACAATATAGCCGTCTCTCTTCGTAACGAGAAAGCGAGTGAATACTCTAATTTTGTACGAAAATTAATGGCCAGTGAAAAAAAAAATTGGATAATTTTTATTTTAGACTTTGTTTAAATGGAATGTTTCGTTGAAAGCGAGCATTTTATTGTTTGGAAAATTTTATGTTTTTCAAAGGAAGGGCTCGAATAGCTCCATTAATTTGCGTCTTATAATAAAAAAGATAAAAATAACAAAGAAAAAAATTAAGTCAAGTACAGCGTAGTGTGTGACATGTGTGTGTTTTCAGTCTCCAGCATCGAAACAAGGTAATAGCATATGACCTGGTGAATGTGTTGGTCTGTTTCGTAGTGTCTGTGTGTGAGTGCAAGTTAATCCGTATAGCTACGCTGGATCTGAAATGTAATGACTTCTAACGACCACATTGAAAGGCAAATCATGTTAAGAAACACACACACACATCATCACCACTGAAATCGTCAATGCTATTTGAAGCGAAGCAAACGAGGAAACACTGTGAACTCGGTGTGTACGTGTGCATGTGAATGTGTGCGAGTGCGCTGGTTGTTGGCAGCACCACAAGCAGCAATAGAAATATCATCAACACACAGTATAACATAAACGTAGTGTGGCAAAGTGAAGAGAAAAAAAAAATCTTTTTTTTTTCTTTCATTCTTGATCCGTATAATTTTTTGTTGTTGCTATTGTTGTTGTAATTCGCAACAGAGAGAAGTGGAGTGAAATAATAGAAGTTTTATCCGAATTGGCGAAAACGGCAATGCTCTGCACGAAGAGGCTATTTGGTGGACATTTTTGTTTTTTGTGAAATGAAACACGAATAAATATTCGCCATCGAATTTGACAAGCACCGAACAGATTGTCATTGCAGTAATAAAGAGTTGAACATTACGAGGAATTCAATAAAACATTTTGATGTGTTGTTGTTATTTTGCCTAATCACAAAATTCACTGACGACGTGAACAACTACAAAAAGTGTGTGTAAGTGAATAGCAGCAGCAGCAGCAGCAGCTACGGATAGCCAACACATTGGTCGAATGAAGAACGGGTTCAAGTTTACAATTGATATCGAAAACGAAAACTGTGAATCGCCTTTTTTTTCGCCAAACTGAACCGAAGCTAACACGACAATTTCAATTGATAGACACAATTTCCAAGTGAAACAAACCAATCAACGAGTCGATTAGTTCGATCACCAATTACAAACATGGAGTGTCCACATTTACGTGACAGTGTCAAAGTTAATCGCGATTTTATTAAAAATAAAAAGTGTGAACTCAGTACAAGTAGCGGTAACCGAGCATCAACAGAATTAAACAGTAGTGGCGGCATTCAGTGGAGATGTTTAGGTAAATGCAATGAGAAGAACAGAAAAAATATAAGATGTCGACCTCTAAGCGAGAGAAAATTTATCTGCCATATTTCAAGTGCTCATTTATTTCATTTGTTTGTCATTGGGCCGAAGTTTGTCTCTAAAATTTTGACTACATTGATTTACGTAATGAATTTGCCAAAGAAAAGTGACCAAATTATTAGATTTTCGTGAGAAAAAAAGGCCGAAATATTTCTTTTCAACGGAGCGCTTCAAGCCTTAATGCCTATAGTTTTTGAAAGTATTATGTCGAAATTCTTGGCACAGTCAGGCAGTCAGTTGTCGTTTTTTTTTTCTAAGCATTTTCATTATTTTTCGTATTTTTGTGACATCAGAATGCTTTATTTTTGGATTACGATCGTCATAAGTTCAACGAGTTGCATCGGAGATGCCCTTTTTTACTTCTCGGACACTAAACACTTGTGTGCGCATATAAAAAATCGATACGGCTCTTTAGACTACGGCAATAATTGCTCCGTGTACTCCGAATGGCCACACAATGAACAAAATGATTGAAATAAATTTTTGGTTTTAAAAATGTTATGCAAAGTGTGTTCGCGTGTGAGAGAGAGTTCTTTTATTCCATCGATAAAATTAGCATTTGTCTTCGATGATAGATTGCCATCACACAGCCTCCTGCGACGGCAATAAAGTTCAACTGTAAATGGACTACATTAACAAAACATTTCCTGCATTGGCAAAACAATGCCTGCATTTGCAAATCAGAGTTGAAATAAAATATGGCACCGAACAAAGAATGTGCTTCATCGTCAGCAAATATGTCTTTAACATGACTTCATATTTCGTCAAATTGATAAAAACTAAAATTCAAAAACACAATAAAAACGCGTCATTCTTTCGAGAAAATGAATGAAGTGAAAGAAAAATACACACAAATCGAAAAAGAATCAGTGTTATTGATTTTCGTTTTATGTTTCATTTGCATCCGAAATCACAAATCGAATCCATTTTTCTTTTTTTTTTCTTCCACGAAATAAGCGTAAGTCTTTGTTAGTTGTTCGTGTAGCATTGAGTATGATGTGTATTCTATTTTTCTTCTCTTCTCTTCGCTTTATTGTCACACAAACGAGTGCTCGAACGTTGTGAGTATTTCACTTGAAGTGATTGTGTAATACCATATGGATTATGTGTGTATATTGTGGTTGTCAATGTGTTTGTACGGTGTCGCTGTGCATGTATGCGTGTGACCGTAGAGAAAAGAGATATGAACTATATAGCTCAGCATATTAGCATATTTTATGTGTGAGATTCGATCGACGTAAAAAAACAACAACAACAACAACAGAATATGTATACACAAACATCGAATTTCTTTAGCTGTGTGCATGGCTGTAGTATGGATCCACGCGAAGTTTTTCTTCGGGCCGTTTGGTTTTTTTTTTGCTCTTTTCATTAACGCAACATCAAAATTATTGCTTATACATCGGCCAGAATACCTTTGACAGCCAGACTAGCCTTAATTTGCACGCAATTCCCAGTTTTTTTCTTTCTTCAGCTACTCTCATCTTCATTAGTAGTTGTGTAGATTGTGTGTGTATATGTAAGCGAAAAAAATCCAAAGGTCAATCGAAAAATTCCATTTCAATAATCACTGTCCGAATCATTTTCATACTAATTTTTCTATTGCTCAATCGTAGCAGCAGCATATTCATTGTTTCGAAATTCACAGACGCAAACAGAGAAGAAAAAAAAATAGGTTCACATAAAAGAAAAAAAAAACCATTTGATGTCGACAATTGATGTGGCTGGAGGTGCTTTTGACCTGTGTTCCGTCTGACGAACAGACAGCGACTAACTAATCGTTCGCATGTCGGATTTTATTCGCGCTAGACATTGAGCTGACGCATTTTGAGTTGTTCCGATTTTCAAGCACTTTGCCACTTCAGTATTCGCAAAGTGTGACAAATACACTGAAACACTCTTTAGACATGTGTTTTTACTACTGGCGCTGCTTTAGCTAGATACATGAGAAAAACTCAATGACAGAGCGAGATGGAACAATCTGAAACACTGTTTCCATTTCGCTCAATAGAATTTGCTAGCATTTCTGTCTCATTCGCTCAGCCATGGTGTACTTAAAATGGTGCAAAATATTCGGTAGCAGGACTTAACGGGTGCAACGGATTTTTCACTTGAGCAAAAAAAAAAGAAGAAAATATGATGAATGCTGAACCATAAAATTTCGTTGCAGAATTTGTACTCTTTCAAAAGAATTATTTCACTCGAATCAAAGTTCGAAATAGAGAGGAATTGAAAAAGAGACAGAGAGAGAGAGTCAGAGAAAGGAGAGAAAAATGGTGTTCCATTTTTTAATGCAAACCGTTTTTCTATTTACTCGTTTCAGAATGCACATCGGACAAAGAGAATTGGATGTGCTTAAATTGCGGCCAAGTGTTGTGCGGTCGCTATGAAAATGGGCATGCACTGCATCACTCGACATTGAATACACAGCACAATGTTTGCTTAAACACACTGAATTGCTCGGTGTATTGCTACAAATGTGATGATTTTGTAATTAACGGTAAGCATTTGTTGGACAATTTGCGGGAGGAGTTCAAGGACGATGATTCATCATCGGAAGCATCAAATTCGCTTGACGAATCGTCTTCAGTTAAATCATCAAAAGGATCAGCTAGCACATCGTCCAGCGATTCCGGATGGTATGATGAATCGACTCCGGGCGTCGTATCACCAACAACTGGTCGACGATTGCGACCACGAAAACGTACAAATTCAAATCAGAATGAAAACGGCAACGAATCACCGACAAAAAAGAAATTACTCCGAAAGGTCAGTATGATGAACGAAAACAACACTCAATATACAGATTTTTTTTTTTTTTTTTGAATTGAACCAAACAAATTGTTGCTTTTTTTGATTAGTTTTTTTTTCTGTTGCTGCATGATACAGGTCATCGGCCTGAGAAATTTAGGTAACACATGTTTCATGAATTCAGTGCTACAATCGCTGAACAATATCGAAGAGTTTAGCTTGTACTTCAACACGCTGCCATCGCTAGAAACAAAATCAACACAGCAACAACAGAAACGTGTTTACTACTCACGTTCGCTGAAAGAGAGCGTGAGCGATGCAAATGTCGCCGAAGAATTACGCAAAGTATTAATCAATCTCAGCCAAGGTGGTGACGGCTCAAAAGCGATCTCTCCCGAATGCTTGTTCTTGGTCATTTGGAAAGTTGTACCACAGTTCCGTGGCCATCGACAACACGATGCACATGAATTCCTGCGCTATATGCTCGATCGTCTGCACACTGAACTACAGTATGTGATCACAGCTCCGGAATCGACGAATGGCACACAAAAATTCACAATCAAAGATTGGAATGGAAGCGATGGAAACGGTCTAAGCAGCGAACCAAGCAACGCCACATTTCGAAATAAAAGTTCAATCGTCACAAATGTCTTTGGTGGCACGCTACAGAGTGAGGTAATTTATAAGGATACAAAAATGTGATTTTTATTAAAAGAAAATTGTACCTGACTTAAGAAAATTGTCGTTGTCATCATCGATGATGGCTCATCATTAACATCAGAAAAAATTATCAACTTCATAATTGTTACCTTTGTCATTCAGGTGCGTTGTCTAATCTGTGGAATGGAGAGCAAAAAGCATGACCCTTTCTTGGATCTATCGTTAGACATTCCCGAGAAATTCTACAAAGAAACCGACGCTGATGGTCGCCCCGTTTGTAACATAGCCGATTGTCTATCAAGTTTCACAGAGGTGTGCATACTATTTTAACCTCAAATCACCAAGTATTTCAGTGATGAAAATGTCAAATCACCAATTTTGTGAAAATTCAATTCACTTTAACCCAACAAAAACCACATAATTAATTAAATTTTATAGAAATGGAATTTATCAAATATTTAAATGAAAATAAAAACGCAATTTCAGGTGGAAGAGTTGGCCGAAACCGAATTATATTACTGTAACTCGTGTAAGTGCAAACAAAAGTCAACCAAACGTTTCTGGATCCGTCGACTACCGAATGTACTGTGTTTGCACATCAAACGTTTCCGCTGGAATAACTTTTTCCGAACGAAAATTGATTTACGTATCAAATTTCCAATTAAATCATTGGACATGTCACAGTATGTGTTGAACAATGTACCCGAGACCAGACGCTCCAATTTGAACAATAATGTTTATGATCTAGCTGCGGTTATCGTTCATCATGGCAATGGGTAAGGGGTGGAAAAAGGTTGAGATTTTAGTTTGTTCGAAAGGTTTTTCGAAATTCGATTTTATCATTTTCATCGAGGTCTTTGATGTATTTGATTAAAGAAATTGCATTATAAAACAATTTTCTATGACAAATATTAATCTATTTGCAGTTCGAGTTGTGGTCATTATACATCATATGCGAACAACAATGGCACATGGATGCATTTCAACGATCAAACCGTGAAACAGGTGCAAACGAGCGCAGTGGCTGAATGTAAACCGTACATTTTGTTCTACATTCGAAGGGACCTAAACAATTCGACATGAGATTAGGCATTAAGACTGAGAGTTCCGAGTTTTTTCTTCTCCAAACCTACTGAAAATGGCAAAGAGGCATTTTACAAGCAGCAGGAAAAGTAAACACTAAAACAAGCATCAGCTTAAAAAAAAAAATCCGATTAAAAAAACAGCAACAACAACCTAATTTGTTATATAACAATTACATGAACTTATTCCGATGTATCAAACATTCGTAATTCACATACACACACAGAATGCAACAACAACAAAACATACACTCACTCACCCATAATTACAAATGAGTCATTCGAGATTTCTAATCCGTAATGAAGAGTAGGATATGTATACACACTTGAAGAACATTATTGCTAAAGTAACACAATATTCTGGAAAATATAATATAATCAACAGAATCCATGATTGTAGCAAAGAGAAAAAACAATGGGCAAAAAATAGCAACACTCTCTCGGGAATGATTTTCTGTTTGATATGAATGTGACAGTGAACCCGAATGGTATGATTGCATTCATCTCACAACTATATTACATTTGAGAAATGTAAGCCAACAGAAAAGCATTTCAATTAAGAGTGTCGAACAGCATATTTGCGCTCTAAATTACACTCTCAATTTTGGTGAGCAAACATATACGAATCTAGACTAGAATTCAATCTGATTTGAAATCATTGAATGAGTCATATTTTATGTCATCCAAGAAAAAACCGTTTGAATTCACATTATTTTCCGCAATTCAAACCAATAGAATTCTTTTTTCTCTTTTTATTTTATGATAGAATAAACATTTTTTTTTTATATATATATAATTTGAATTTATGTAATCCGATTGTTTAAGAAGATCTAATTAGAACATACACACTCTTTTTATTCATGTCAAAAATAGATATATTTTTTTTTTTGTGTGGAAAACAATTGACAGTGACTAAAGAAGCTATTTAATAGACATTCATCTGATGCAATATTTTGCAAGTGAAAGAAGAAAAAAATACAAACACCCATATTTTATTGGTCATAAAATGCTATTTATTATCGATGACCACATTAACCAATGTTTACAATTGACAATTGGGAAAGGAACTTAAAATTCAACAAACAATTTTTCTCTTATATTACGTATAACCGAGTAATGTTTATATGTCTTCATATATAATATCTAAAAATTATATATTCATAGAAAAAAAAATGCATTGAACAAAACACACAGAAAAAACGAAGAAAGAAACAAAATGATGGTGATGAAGGAGTCGAATTAAATGCAATGCATTATCCAGCAGGGATAAAAAAAAACAAACAGAAGCGAAATTTCCTTAAAATATAAAATAATCAGAATAAATATGGAGAAAAAACGAGATTCGGATAAAAATTGAGAAAAAAAGAAGAAAACATGATACGATCAAAATGTCAGCAAAATTGCAAACAAGACACAGACAGAGAGAACAAAAGAATCAATCAATAAAATGCAAAAAAGCTACAGAGATACAAATTAACAGTATAAAATTCGATTGGCATTTTCATTTCCATAGCATATGATTTCAATAAAACTTCTAACAATATTCAATTCTTTTTCAGGTCATCTATAAGGTGGTTATCAACAATAAAATTTTCATTTCCATTTCGGCGTTCATTTTTTTCATCAGTCGAATCAATTTCAATTTGTTAACAAGTGCCATTGGTTGTTGTTCTTTCCCTTGTTTGCAATTAAAATATTTTGTTACACTAAAATTCGCTGGTAATCTTATATAAGTGTGGGTAAGTACAACAATAAAAAAAAGAGAAGACAAAAAATAAACTTGGCATCGCAAACATACATAATACATAGCACGTTTTGAATGTGCGGTAAATTTTCGTTGTAAAATTCATTGATAAAATTTTTGTTGTTTATTTTCGTTTTCAGTTTAAAAATTTTTGTTTCATTTCAATTGGACACGTATTTGTTTTCTGTTCTTCTCTGGATAAGGGGTTTTCTAACAATAAATAAACGTACGTATCCCATTAAAATATTAACATTCACTTGGTGAACACAGAAACTTACGTTTTTTTTTTGTTTTTTTGTTTGTTTAAAATCATTATTGCTTTGATTGTATTCATTTTGATGGATTTGTTCATGTTTTTTTTTCCACTTGTTTTTTGTTGTTTTATTTTGTGGTGTGTGCGTTGTTTGTTTGCTGTGAACTTTTGCGCCAAATACAAACTTTATTGTTGGCTGGCATATCGAAGATTTTCTCCAAACAAATGCTGTAGGTGAGTGCCAATTGTTGCAGATCTCGTAAATCTCGAACGCCCCAATCCGTGTTGGTTGAGCGTAGATATTGATCAAAATTCACATTACTTTCGGGTATAAGAACACCATTCGATGCATATGGGCCGTATGTGATCAAGATACCATTGGGTTTCAGGAGGCCAGATGCATTTTTAAATAGACCTTCGGTGCAGCTCCAAGGCGTAATGTGAATCATATTTATGTTGAGCATGTAATCAAATGTGCCAGCCACTTTGGTTGGTTGCAAATTTGCCACATGCCAATTCCACTTGGTGCCAAACGGTTGTCTAACAATTAAATGATAAAATTGAACAAAAATTTAAAATGAATAAAAAATTTCGTTGTCAAAAATATATCAATAATGAGATGATCTAAAAAAGAAAACAAAATTAAATTACCTGACATCGATCGTCATTGGGAGAGCAACATTTGACAACGATTCGGTGTATGAACGAATGCTGCCAAACATCGATGTTTCATATTCGCTTGGATAGAATGCAATATTTGGGAATGCAGGTGCAAAATATCCCACATGCTGTCCAGTGCCTGATGCAATTTCCAATAATCTCAAACCGTATTGATTTTTATCCAAAACAATGTGCAAACAATCTAGAATCGGATGACAATTCCGATCAGCCGAAGAATTCTTTAAACGTACTGCTGCTTGCTTGCCACTGACAGTGAGAAAGAACGAGAAAAAAAAGAAGAAAAAACAATAAAATACGAATTTTGCACATTTTCATGGCATTCATCAACGAAAATAATAAAAGATTCAAATAACTAACAAATGACGATTGAAAAACATTGCGAAATATTTCATATTCCAATTTTTCAAGAGAACAGCTCTAAATACACCAACAAAAATAACGAAAGAACACTGAGCGAAAAATTGATTTTTTTTTCTCTCTTTCGTCGCACTTACATCATGTTGTTGTTTTGCTATCGAAACCGCTCGCTTGACTGTTTTTATTGCGTATGGAGACCTGTCAATGTGTGTTGTGCCAAACACCAAAAATGAGGGGAAATGACGAACGTGAACGTGTGGTATGAGAGATAAAAGCTTTTTCGCTCGTCAGATTCAATTAAGTGGAAATGGATACAAAAGGAAGATGAGGCAACCGTAGAGAAGCAGAGAGAGGGAAAATGAGATGGAGAGAACAACGAAGCGTTTCAACATTACGCAGCGTTTACATAAGCAGAAAACCATTGACACAGACAATACGGAAATACGGTAGAACTTTACATATCAAAGGAAAATCCGATTCATTTATTCGCATGTAAATACTCGCTCGCATTTATATGTACACTTGTTTTTGAGCTGAATTCATGTGTCGACACAAGCAACGAGAGAATGAGTTTTTTTTGCGTGGTATTTTTGTTGTTGTTTCGTATTTATTTGAACTGAGGAGAAAGTGTTTTGTTAAAGCGCTCATCGTTGGCTGGTGTATTCTCTTTTGTAGCGTTTTATAAATGGTACATTATGGTGCCTCCGTTTGAGTTCCTGGCTGTGATCCACTTTGAGATGACTGCGACGGGGTTTGGGTTTGTACTGTGTTCGGTGTGGTTGTAGCACCATTATTCTGATGGTTTAGCGGTCTGAAAAGGTATTCAATGACATATTTCAACAGCCCTTTCATTCTTTGTTGTTCTAAAAATGATGATAAACATGATATTCTCAACTCACTGAAACTGACTGATGGATGTTCTTTGGTTTCCACTATTTATTCTGCCTGTTCCACCAGTCGAACTCAAAAGTGAACCAACTGCTTCCGTAGTACCTGATTTTGAAGAGAAATTTTTTTTTTTTCAAGATCGTGAGTTTGAAATTGTAAAAGGGATTTTTTGTAACTATTTCCCACCTGTGAGAAGCGCTTGTGCTCCATTCGCAATGGAAAGAATCGTATTACCAAATGTACTAGCAATTGACTCAAAGAATGAACGTGGACCACCAGCAAAAAATGATGGGAACAGTGAACTGGAGGCACTTTGAAGCAGAACCGGTGGCAATGCTCCATTTGTTGATGATGCTATGTGTAATTAAAATCGTATCATGAGTCGGAATGTGCGAATACACTCACTGTGTTATTAAAATCATTGCTTTAAAATTGGATTTTACCCTGGAATTGTGGAGCTGGGTTGGCTGTCACGCATTGATTAAAACACACACTGAATATCAGAACAATGAAGAGCCACCGTTTCATTATCTCTCGCTTTTGCGATGATGTGCTTGAAAGGTGCGTCATTTAATTTTTCTGATCTGCCGTTTCCACTGCGTTTATTTACCGTTTATGGTCGAGACGTATACTAGTTTTGAAATTCCAATGCCACTGGGGTATATATACATTTTGTGTACAGCAAAAAAAAGGGAGTTCATTTAAAATACACTTTGCACGTAATTCACCGCAATTAACGTCAAAAACAAAAACGAAATATATTCCATTTGTCTTCTGCAAACAGAGACTGAAGTATTTTGTCAAAAAAATCAATTAAGCCCACATTAAGCAGAGAATAAAGAAATATTTAAACAGCTGCTGCGAGCGTATCACAATTTTGATGGTAGAAAATGTTTTGAACGCAAAAATGAGAAATGAATTTTGAACAGAAACAATGGCAGATTGAAGGGAAAATTTCGATTTTGTTTCCTCATAATAATTCAATAACTAACGAAAAGTCTATAGAATAAGTTGGACAAATACATTTCATTCAATTTACGCACGGAGTCAATTATTCAAGAATTTTTTTTTTCGGCTGAAATTCTGAATGGCATGCTAAAATCAATTGGTGTCCAAAATCGTTTCCTTCAATCACATTTTCCAATGAAGAGCGATTTCCATCGAAACGTTTAACAACTGCATTTTTGTACCGCGTTCATGCGTAATTCAATCCCATTGAAACGATGGAACGGAATTTCAATTTGCTGTGATATTCTGTGAAACAATGTGAACAATTTCATTTTATTTGACTTCAACTTTTTTATTCAACATATATTTTAATTCATAAATAATTTTTCAACCGTTGATCGATTTAAATGATAAATATTTTCGCAAAATTTTATCACAATAAATATGTGCATGAATGCATAAATATAAATGTGCGCCGATAACCAGTATTATCTGCTTCACCAGTGCACCAATTACTATGATGTATATTCGATATGATTTGTATCTTTTTATTTCTCTGCAGCAGGAGCTCTGAAAAATGGAACGGATAAAAAATGGTCAATAAATTTGAGTAGCAGATAAAGTAATGAAAAAAAAAACTTACGGTGTTGCCGCACCACCCGCAGGTGCCCTGAAAATCAAATAGAAAATATGGTCAATCATTTTTAGTAACAGATTCAATAATGAGTTAGACTTACTGTGTCGCTGCACCAGCATCGGCTGGAGGTCGATTGTTATAATTCCTGAAAATCAAATATGCACATTAAGAAATATTCAATTGGAAAAAAACTGAAACCATAAGAAAAATAACTAACAAGAAACCCGTGTTAATGGCTCCGGAACCGAGTACACCGGAGATGAAGTTACCAAATGCATTGAAAATGCCAGATACAATTGCATCGAATGCTGATCCTTGTCCATTTCCAAAATTCGCTAGCCCAGCGCCAAGATTATCGGCCATTCCAACGATCCCACTTCGAGGCATGGAATTCATTAGCAATGACAACGGCAAGTTGTTACTGCAATAATAATGAAAGGAAATAAAAACAAATAATTAAACAAAAAATCACGTTTCTTCTAAGAAACACAGTTCTTGATATCTTACGGTTGCGCTCCAGGAGCCGCAGCTGCTGGTGCTTGGGGTAGTGGTATTGCAAGTACCAGAGTGTCTGTTATGACCAGTATCACAAGAATTAAATGCTTCATCTCTTTCAATGATAATCTAATCTCTTCTTTAATTAGAACTTAATTCAATCTGCCTAGAATCGAAGCGAATCTTTTCAATCGACTGTGATTTTGCAACTGTTGATTGTACACTTTCTCGGCCACTGCTTTTATACTGTACGATCGGGCGGAAAAATATTTACGCTTGACCTTCCGAAAGACCATTAGTACCACACATCTGGCCATTTTCCAAAATAACAACTTTATTATCGAATTGTAACTGGCTCTGACTCAATTGAGTCAATTGTTTACAACAAATAGCAAACTATTGCGTTGCGGAAACAAATTGATTGTGTCACATGGGTTAGTCAATGAATACTATACAAATCCCTCGGTCGACGAACTGTCGAAGAATTTCATTGAACAATTTCAAGAATGAAATAAAACTAGCGCATCACGAATATTTTTGTTTACAAATAAAATGAAACAGATTTTGTTTAATGTCACTCTTGTTTGTTCTGAACAAAAATTGAGCGATTACTAACAAGGACAAAACTGTGCAGGATCAATAGAGACTATCTGAAAATTGTCTATTAATTCAGAATGAGATTTTATACACATCTAGTGGTTTAAACACATTGGACATATTCAACGTTGGTCATCTAAAAGTTTAATTTCGAATTTCTTCATAACATTTTTTTTCGCTATTTAAATTTAAATCAGTTTCTTTCCTTGTTCACTCCAAATCTACCAGCTTCTAAGTAGTTTGTGTTCCAGTTTGTGACGGCTGAGCAGTCTGTGTTGGACTTGACGTTGGAGTGTTGCTATTTGATCTGAAATATTGCAAGCATTTTTTTTTTATATTTCAATAGAAACGCACCAATTTCAAATTCTTCAGAAAATAATCGAATAAAAACGAACATCAATTACCCGATTGGAACGGAATATGTATAAGCATTCGTATTCATTCCACCCATTCCTAATAAACCACTAACAAGCGTACTGCGTGTAAAAAAGAAATTAAAAATGACATTTCATTATGATCATCATTATGATCGGATTGCAACAACCGAGCTCTAAATGATAATCGTACCTGACGCCAAGACCGACCTCTGAAATGAAAATTGCCTTAAATTAACATGGTTCGTTGATTATTATTCGAATTCAAACGAGAGAAAAAACTAACTTCCGAGTAACGAAGACACTGCACTTCCAATTCCTCTTCCTGCATCAACGATGCCTGATCCAAAGAAATCGAATGTCGCTGGTAGTCCCACATCAAATGGATTCGTTGCAATACCACTTGAAGTAACAATCTGGTTGGGAGTAAAGTTGGCCGTAAGCAACGACTGTTGTATTCCTCCCGGTAAAGGTATATTCCCAATATATTGGATCCCAGAGGGCATTTGTGGAAGTTGTGAATACGATATCTGAGCCACTGGTACACCAAAAACAAACCGACACAGAATATTCCAAGATAAAACGATAAATGGCCACCACATCATTTTGATATTGATTTTTTTTAATGGGTCTGCCTATTTAACTTTTTTAGCTTGCACTTTTCGATGATAATGCGTTGTATTCCTGATTTCCTGTATTCCCGACGAGAGCTCAACTAAATTACCATTTGGCAATCAACACTTATTTATACCGTTGTACATTGGGAACGAATATTTGTAAACACATAAATGAAATATGAAATTCGACAAATTTTCAACGAATACATTTTAATATTAATTTCTATTCCAGCAAACTTTGTCTGTTTCAACAAATGTTCTTGTTTTGTACCGCCAGGGTAATGTTCTTAGATTTCCATATTCAAGTGAACGAGTATGTGACGTCAATTCATAGCGCACAAGGACAAATGACAGAACATTTTGCGTAATTTATTGTAATTTTATTCGCTATTCATCACGAATTTATGACATATTTATGGCATTCATGCCAGAAAGATTTTTCGGGTAAGAAATAAAACAATGAGAGAATTTTGTCATGATGCGATGTTGAGATGCTTCAAACAATTCCACTTGGTATATTATCTTCATTGTGCGAAGCACTTCCAAGTATCTAACAAAGCATTTTTAATCAATAATAAAGGCGACTCATTCGTATTCGGATACATGGCTACGCTCTCTTTTTTAATCTAGAGAGAATCGTTACAAAGTATATTCAAGCTATAAGTTTAGTCAGTTATGTGATGTTCTTCTTCAAACTACTTGAATTGAATTCTGAAACATGAAAAATAATTTTGAGATTGTGTCATTATGTGATTTGTGTTATCAGAAAGAAAGTTGCTGACATGTTGTTTATTTTTTATTTTTATTTGTTTATAATGGTAAAAGAAACAGGACAAAGTTTGTAACAAAGAAAAAGAAAGTCTTTCTGTATGCAAAATTCTATTTTCATCTACGTGTGCTGTACAGTAAAAAACGACAATATTTATTGAAGTAAAATCAGCATACTAATCTAACAATTTGGTTTCATTGGGCTAAAAAAAACCAGTGATTACATTCAACTGACATAATAATTGGACAAAACAAAAGAATCTTTTGGCATGATGGTCACAAAATCAAAATAGCTGCAGCCAATTAGGAGATAACGCGTCGTAACAGATATTATGTGAGCTGGATGAATTCACTGAAAAAAAACTGCAATTGCCATTAGCTGGCGAATCAAACATGGTGAAATGGCACTCACTCCGACCGCATCATTTTTAATTTCGCCGTAAAGATTGGATTGCTCTTAAATGACTTTGAATTGCCTCGTAAAGAGTATTTGTCAAAGTTACACAAGTTGAGTAACATCGATTGTATTTGACAATTGGACAATGTTATTGAATTGCCTGTAAATAAAATGTTTGTATTGAAAAATACTCAGGAAGGAATACTTAAACGTTAAAAAAATCTACTAACCTGCTGCTGCTTCAGTGCAATTACTTCTCGCGTTCGTGCAATCTGGCGAAACAAAAAAAAATGTGTAGATGGAATGAATTTTACTGTTTAAGCATATAATGCTTACTATTGAAACAATTGTTCACTATAGAGGCAAATTTCTCTCCAAAGGGTGCACAGTGAAGTAGCGTTGCCAAAGCCAAAATCAGAACGAACACTTTTATGAACATTTTAGAGCTCCTTTATTTACAGGCAAATTATTCTTTTTTGGGCTGGTAAGTGAAAAAACACGCACAACGATGTTCAAAGTATGAGATGAAGCTCGTTTTTGAAATCGTTGCTACAACCTCGCCATATATATACCCATATTTCAGTTATCAATTCTATGTGTTTAATACTGACCTTCGACTCATCCTAAAAAGGTCAGAGACAAAAGTCTTTCACTTGTGCGTTATTCGATGAAGTCTGATTGATCTGATTGATTAGTTCGGGGATTAAATAGAACTATCTGTTTGTTGCACGATGAATCATTCAGCTTTCTTCACAACATCAAGAGCTTTGCACAATGCAGATGAATCACTCATCTGAATGTTCAAATGCATACGCAAACGATTTTTTTTCTTCAAATGACTTTCAATTGACCATTTTGTGCTAACGTAAGGATGTTTAATGTTTTTTTTAAATTCAAAATTTTATTCGCATTTCTTTCCTTATATAAAACAATATTATGGTCATGAAGTGCAATGCATAGGTACAGTCTATAAATAACAATGATGATATAAATAAGTGTGGATGGCGAGAAATCGACCGAATGAAGGAAATGAATGAGTGTTTCGGTATGCATCTGATCCAAGAGATCACAATGATAAACATGCATAAGTATATCTTTCACTTTTTTTCCGCTGGGGCAGGAGCAGCACCAGCCGCAGCTGGTTTTACCCTTTAAAATGATAAACAAAACAAATTGTACATACGGTGAAATAAAAAAAAAGAATTTTAAAAATGGTCACATACGTAGTAACTGCACCACTGTCTGCAGGTGGTCGATTGTTGTAATTCAAGAATCCTGTATTGATGACTCCCGATCCAAATATACCACTGAATAAGTTGCCAAATGCATTGAAGACACTCGAAACGAGAGCATCGAATGCTGAACCTTGGCCATTTCCAAAATTCGCTAGTCCAGCGCCAATATTATCGGCCAATCCAACAATTCCACTTTTGGGCATACCGTTTAATAGCAACTGCGTCGGTGGCCTGCAATGGGAATTTTAAACATGTTTTTTTTTTTAAATTCTAAATGAAGATCTTCTATTTTCATTGTTTTCTCAGTCCTCTAAATTTCAAATTTGTGTTCACTTCTTTGTGGGATTTAAAAAAAAATCGTTTTGTTCTTACGCTCCTCCTCCTGCTTGAGCTTGAGGCTTTGGTATCGGTTTAGCAGGCACCAAACCGAAAATCATAATCAATGCTGCCAAAATAATTAACTTCATTTCTTTTCTCTTCTCTTTTTGTGAATCGATTAAATTGATTATCAACTGATAACTAACATGCTAATCAGATCATAATCTCTTTTATAGGCGAATAAGATAAATAAAGAAGCTTGTACTAGCCTTGTACAAGAGCATTTTGAATTGAAGAACATTATTATGCTAATATTTACGCATTCAAAATTTAATCTGTGTTACGTTTTGTTTATTTGTTTGTTGACATAATTACGAAAAGCTTGTTTGTCTACTGATTGTTTTACATTGCGGCGAATGAACTTGATGAGAAAAAAAATATGGTCAAACATAAATCCCATGTGAATAAACTGAAAATTTGAACGAAACCTGTTGCTTGAAGCTCAAAAATGCGTTTATTTTTCATTTAAATCGCTTGCCATTCGAATAAATTCACCAGACGTGTGAATCCAGCTTAAGTGTCACTTTCTTTGCGGCATTCAGATAAAAAAAAAGTAAGGTTATGTCAATTATTGAACATTTGCTGGACGTCAAACACACAGTTGATTCATCGTTTATTGTCCACTGGAGAAACGCATAGAAATAGTGTTTGATGATTTTAACTGCGGCCGAGCGAATAAAAAATAATAATTTTATTGCAATCATGACAGAATCAACGACCGCATGCTTTTTCGCCAAAGTGCTGTATTCATTAACCAAGGTAATGCATATAATTTAATTGGTGTTTGAAGCAAGGTGGTTTTCAATTGTTTTCATTTCACAGAATTCAACGTTTGTGATAAGTACGGAGATTGCATTCGTCATTGGTTTGCTGTCCATTTTGTATTTGTATCGCAGCAAAAATCGAAAACAACTCACTGAAGAGGTAAGAAACATTACATAAATGCCGAATTATAATAAACCACTTAAAAGAGTTAAAGAACGTTGGATACGGAATTATCGAAATTGATTGTTTCTACAGCAAAAGCAGTCAATAATCCAAAATTGGACTCCAGAAGAGCTGATTGAAGATGTTCCGGAAAATCACCCAGTATTAACCAACAAACGCATTGTTACGACAACAACAGGCAAACAAATCACAATAAATGGTCATCATTGCTTGAATTTGGCCACACACAACTATTTGGGCTTACTCAATTTACCGGACATCAAGGAAAGTGCCATTGAGGCTATTCGAAAGTATGGAGTTGGCTCATGTGGACCACGCGGATTTTATGGAACAATTGGTAAGAATAAATGGCTATTCGAATGAGTAGTGAAACAGTGTTGATATATCTCTCATCCAATCGATTGTCCTTTGATTTTTTAATTCGGATTTTTTTTTTTGGTAAACTCAATGGCAGATGTTCATTTGGAACTTGAAGAACGATTGGCAAAATTCATGCATATGGAAGAGTCGGTTGTCTATTCTTACGGATTTTCAACAGCGGCTAGTGCTATTGGAGCCTATTGCAAACGAGGCGATTTAGTTTTTGTGTAAGTGATACTTTTCAAAATGAACGTTATCAGCTGTCTCAGCTCTCCTTTGTCGACTAAAAAAATGAATAGATTCCAAAGAGTTCACCACCAATTTTCTCCTCCATTCCAGTGATGAGTGTGTGCATTTTTCAATTCAAAAAGGGCTTGATGCATCACGCAGTAAAATTTCCTATTTCAAACACAATGACGTTGCCGACCTGGAACGACTGCTGAAAGAACAAGATGCCATCGATCGCAAAAATCCATCGAAAGCATCGAAAATTCGTCGCTTCATTATTGTCGAAGCCATTTACATGAACACAGGTGAAATGTGCCCATTGCGAGAAATCATTGAGCTGCGAAAACGTTACAAGCTTCGATTGATTCTGGACGAGAGCGTCTCATTTGGTGCATTGGGAAATCATGGCCGTGGAATAACCGAACACCTCAATGTTAATGTAAGCATTTCAACCATGAAACTATGGGTAAAAACCAAATTCTAATTCGACTCATTGATATTGAAGCATGATGAAGTGGATTTGATTTGTTCAACGTTAGAAAATGCAGTCGGTTCGATTGGTGGATTTTGTGTTGGCACCACATTCATTGTTGAGCATCAGCGCTTGTCTGGTCTTGGATACTGTTTTTCAGCATCAACACCACCGCTGCTCGCACAAGCAGCCATCGCAGCACTGGATCATTTCGAAAATGAACCGGAAATGTTCAAAGAATTGAATGACAAGTGCCGAAAGTTGAATGCGTAAGTAACGAATTTTTGCCAAATTTTCGGAATTTCTTCGAAGATAAATTGATTCAATAGGAATATCATTCATCAACATCAAAAAATCTATAAATCTTTCTGCATACAGAAAAAAATTCTATTTTTAAAATAAAATCTCTTGTTTCTACAGAAAATTGCAAAACTTGACACGGTTCACATTCAGAGGGCACGAACTTTCGCCAATCAAACATTTGTATTTGAAAAATGTTGACGAAGAGCGAACAGAAAAGGTGGAAATTTTAGAGAAAATTGTTGATAAGGTAAGAATGAAATTGTTCAATTGATTCAAATTATGCCATTCTCAACGAGAATTTCTCATCATGTTCAATTTTTGTATCCATTTCAGTGCATCGAACTGAATTTGGCGATCATTAACGCATCCTACTTGGAACAAGTAGAGAGATACTGCCCGGAGCCAAGCCTTCGAGTGGTTGCCAATAGACTTCTGACAGATGAAGACATCCAATTTGCGTTTGATACCATTGAAAAGGTCTCAGCAGACGTGCTATCGAAATTGTAATGTCGAAATTCAGTCACATCACATCATGAAATTCGATTGCGATATGAAATTCCAACCGTTTGATGAAGTGAAAAAAAGGAAATTTAGTTTAGAAACTGTTTCTATTTGTATTACTATGCCATTTAGAGAAATAACACAAGAATTATGTGCACCAAGTTCTAGGGGATAGACAAGGTTTATTAGCACACAAGTGTTGTACGTCTCGTTTGCTCGTTTCTATCGCTGAAAGCGAGGTCGTGTCTTACCCTCAGATTAAATCGGTAGAAGAATATTTCTATCAAATTAAATTTCACGCAAAAAGTATCATTCTTACAGCTTTCATCCTAGCTTATGATTCATAAAAATAAATGTTGTTTTTAAGATAAATTTTATGAGTTATTTATGAATACATAAGAAAGCAAATAAATATAAAGGCACCGTAAAACGGCGATATAAATATTGAATTTGATTTTTTTTCCTTCCATCGACGCAGTTCATGGGGTATTCACATAGAGTCCATTCATGTTTTTGTGTAATAAATTCAATATATCAAGAGCATCAACCTGTACAAGAGACGTTACGAGTGTTGTGCGTGAACAATTGGTATTGCGGTTGATGGACACTAGAGACAATCATGTGGCAAACAAAGTGCTCACTTTTTATCCATTGGAGGCTGAATATGCGAACAAATGAAACACACATAGTGTGAGCTAGAAAAAGGGAGAGATATGGAGTATGGCTATATTTTCTCTGCGAACAGTTATTGATTAGGTTATTTTTTGCTCTCTGTTGTGTTGTATGTGAGTCGCATTTTTCACCCTTGTTCGATGGCTCAGCAAAAACCTACGAATCGAAGTGTGGTGTTGTTTGCTGCTGCTGCTGCTGTTTCATTTCAATGACCATTATGAAATTATCCATGCGACTGAAGAGCGATGAAAACGTAACAAAAGCGAACAAAGTGTTTTGTGCCAACGGCCAAAACTTAAAGCCAAGTGCATTTCACAGCTTTGCTTCATAGCACTATTCATGCGGACTAGAGATGGATTGTGTGTATTTGTCGGCGTTTCCTTCACAACAAAGAGCTCCTTTTTTGTATTGCCTGACCATGCGATGCTCTGCACATTTCCACTTGTTCGCGATACCCGCCCATGCGCATGTCCATTGTACGAACAGAACCGAATCGAATGCGTAGGGAAGAAATCGACGAAATTTTTCCGCTTTCGTGGTTTTATAGAACCAACTGTTAGTTACTCTTCAGCCATTTTCAGACAGATGGTTTTCATTGCTTTTCAAGCCAAGTACAAAACACTTTTTTTTCTACGTCGCGGTTGAATATTCGACTTCGAAATTTTAATTGCTATCGCCTATTTGTGAGTTAAATTCGTATAATTAAATTTTCATTTTCAATTCAAACAACGAGTTTGACCGAGTGTGTTCAAATCGTAAAGTGAAATTCCAAATTTTCGGTGTTTAAGGGTAATTTTAGTCATGTCTATATACAAACAGTGTACATAAAAGAGCCTCCAACTTGACGACAACGTTGAACAACGACAACGACGACGACATAGACAGCACAAGAATAAGTAGCAAACGAAACGTATGAAAAAAAGGAAAGACGCGATTTTCTTTTTCTCGGTTCGTTCGTCACTCCGTGTGCTTCATTCAATTCAGATACCAATTTCAGATTCAGTTGTACACTCTGCCCCGCCCTTACTAAAAGCAACAATCTATTTCTGCTTCATTTCTACACGTTCAAACCAAACGATAGGCTCTCGTTCTGCAGCGCCTTCGCTCTATACACCATTAAAACAAAGCGGAAATCAAACCATTTAATTCCGATTTCTTTCCCATTCATTGATTTCCGTAAAATTGCAGTAGAACAATCGAATTAGAGCAAATTTTTTTTTGTTTTGTTTTTCATTTGTTCAGTTGGTGAAATCCGTGTCCGTGTGCAATACTAAACATATAGATCAAGCATTGTTGGAGAAAAAAAAATTGGATCGACAAAATGCTCATTGGATTAGTTCGTGATTCAGTTTTACAATGTTTCTGCCATACGTGCCGAGTTCCTGGTTTGCCGGCAGGTAAGTTCATTCACACACAAATATTCTCATTATTCCCATTGACTGAAGTGTAATCTCAATGCTCACGGCATTCAGAATCGAAAAAATCAAGCGAAAAGAAGCAGCAACAACAACGATTTCAATCGATACGAATTCATTCGATTTTATACTGTGTTCGCGAAATCAAGAGTCATATTCTTTCGGTTTAGTAAAAGAAAAGAAAAGCAAATAGCTAGCAAACAGTTTTGAAAACAACAACAGCAAAAAACGAAAGGAAATTGAATTTTTCATTTTATTTGCTCGTAATTTACGTCACCAATATACATCCACAGTGTAGCATTGAATGTTGCGCTTCTACTTTAATACAATACAACTAGCAACGAGTATATGTACAGTGCTCAAATACTATGGGTACCCATATACGATGACTCATTTGCCTCCCTCCACCGTCACACCATCTCTCTCGTTCGTTCGTTCGTCGGCTCGCATACACTTTATATAAAATGTTTCATTTGGAGACATTTTTCTTCTTCGATTTCGTTCGCAAAGAAGTCAAATATTTGGAAAATGATTCACAAAGAAGAAAAGGATTCAAGTAAAAGATTTTCGATAATAGTAATAATATACTCAGACTACATTGAAATGAATGAAAAGGGGGAGAAGATGTGAAATGGGAAAAAAAGGGGAGGAAATATGGTATGAGCCGGAAAACATAAAATTTCGAGTTCAAAAGCCATTCTAAATGAATGATGTATGAGATATGCAATGCCACAGTCACATTCAAGTAAATGGCAAATTGGTACCATCGCTTCCGTTCATTCGTTATCAATGTCATTTCGGTTTTTCCATCGATTTCATCCAGTCAATGATGTAATCGTACACGAGCTCTTTTGCATCGCTAGCCCACACAAAATCGATATGATTGAATATGTCATCGTCGACGCGACGAATTTCAACGACATTTGGCAATTCGGATGGCAATCGCCGTATATCTTCAGCCGCAACGGTTGTATCCTGATCGGCATACATAATGGCCACTTTTGCGGTGCAACTCTTTAAATTATAATCGGGTGGCACGGCACGGCGATAGATCCGTAGATTACCATGCAAACCGTAGTCATAGTGACGAAAATGATGGCTATGAATCAATTGACCGTAATGAAAGAGTTGTTTCGTCGATGCACCGGCCGGTGCATGAGCGTCTATGATTGGAATATACGACTAAAAGTAACAAAAAAAAAAATTACAACCATTATTTCATATTACACTCGAAAAATGCACATATAATTTCGTGCTACATACTCGATTCACATGCTCCGTTATATTTCCAACTAATGGAGAAAAATTGTTATTACATAGTTGTGTTTTTCGCAATGCTTCAATATAACACAGTACACTGTTCTGGGTTTGCACCAATAAATCATTTGCTTGCCTCGAAAACTCATAAAAACCAACCCAATCCGATATCATCTGAATTGGAAATCAAATTTAATATAGAAACAGTGTAACTAAAATAAAACACAATAACTCACGCCACACACACACACACACTCACAAAATAAAAAAGAAGATTACTCAGAATTTCCAACGAAAATGAGTTTTACTTACTTCAATTGAGCTCAAATATCGAACGTTCAGCTGTAGTAGTTCGTTATCCACATGTCCCATAAAGACTGGCGGAGCCAATGCAGTCATAAGAAGAACTTTTTCATTGTAATCAGGTCTCTCCGATGTCATAACGAAGAACGATGTCGCGCCTTGAGAATGCCCAATGTAAAAATTTATTATTATAAATTAACGAGATTACATAAATAAATAAAATAAACCTTGAGAATGCCCAATTACATGGCATTGCGAGTGATTCGATTCTTTCAACACATAATCAATAGTCGCTGGCAAGTCATATCGTCCAATTTCATGCCATGAGAAATTCCAATACTTTTTACGCTCATCTCGTTTGCCATTTCGATGATATTTTACATGACGCCGCGAATAATCGTTCCCACGAGCATTATTTAACCAGACATCATAGCCCGAGTCATAGAGAATATAACCTGAAAATAGTAAAATGTTCAATTTCCGTTGTTTAATGCTCATTTCGCACATAAATTCTGATCTTTTCACTATAACATGGACCATGTTACATGGTTCATAATTTAAGCCACAATGTGTGGATGCCACACATGTACTAACTGCTACAAAGTTTACACATTTTTCGGTGCAAGCGAAACATAGTGTTCCGTATCGAGGTCATTATTTATCCAAAATGAAACGTTCGAAAAAAAAACATCAAGCCACACTTTACCCAAAGCTCTGCCAGGTCCTAACATCACCCATGTTGCACTCGAGTCAAGCATTCCGTGGTTTAGTATCACCGGTTGTTTTCCGGGCGAAGCAATTCGATGCACCTGCAAAATGTACCCATCTTCCGTTTTGATATTATGCACTTCGCTGGGATAGCCATACGCTGCAATCAGTTCGGGCTGTAACCGTCAATATATCACATTCAATTAAATATTAATCTCAAATATGACGTAAACTCCATTCACAGTTGCTGTGAAACTTTAAAATCTTAATAAAACTTAACTATTCCGCTTGAAACTTTGAAACCAAAAACAACAAAATTTATAATGAAAGCTCGTTCAAGGTTTTGAATCGCGCAATTTAGAAGAGAAAGTTATTGGAATATTTACAGTAGATAGTTTGGCATCACGTTTCACATCAAGATCAGCAATAATTTCGTTAAAGAACAACAAAAACACAACGATCAAATAAATAAATGAATACATGTTGACGCCGTGCAGTGCAGAAACATTTTGCAAGCAAAGCTAACAGTTAAATGAACCTGATCAGACTCAATGAATCCAATTTTATTTCGAAAAAGTAGCTGATTACATTCATCAAATCTCCGTTGAGAGAATAGCGTCGATATTTATACATACAACAGCACACGATTCTCGTCTGGGATCTTATAGAATCTAATTTGATTATTATCTCAATTGAACAACGTGACATAGAATTGTATAGAAATAAATAAGCGATATATGTTAAGAGTGCCATGCCGACGCTAGTGAAAGATAAAACAGCAATGGAACAACGGAAAAAAACAATGCGGTCTAAATGATACACACGCGATGAGATCGCGATATTTGTTGTCAGTGAACATGCAAATCTTAATGTTAATTCGTTTTGATTTCACAGTACGTTCTCGGTTCATTGTGTTTTGGGTTATTAGACGCTATTTTATGCATTCATTCGAGACAGAAAACAAGCAAATCAGTTAAAGTTGTCAATGACATTTTGTGCATTCTAGCAGCACCGCTACTCTAAACGACGAACATTAAGATTGTTCTTGAATCTTGATTGCAATGCAGTCAAAATTATACGTCAATTTCAGTAATGCTCACTGTTCAGTGAGACATTGTAATGCTCGGCTGAGATAACAGATAAATGCTATGGAGATATTGTTTAATGTGAATCAAGACCGAGGGGCAAACCACTCAAAAGTAATACTGTGTATTAGTATTATTTTAAGTAATAATAATGTAAATATTACCTTGTATTACTTTAGTATTACTTTTTTCAAACAATAGTATTATTTTTAAAAGGTGTATTACTTCATCAAAAGTAATACCACTTTTACCTAGTATTACTTCGTATTACTTCGCAGGTATTATGTATTACTTTTGAGTGGATTGCCCCTTGATCAAGACTGTTATCGACTGTCTCATTTCATCGTATTATTAGACGTTAATAAAATACGACGGCTTATGGTGACGACACAAATTTCAACCTTAAACTTCATATCGACTGGGTGACACAAATGAATATTTAATACACTTATTTTTTCCATAAACGAGCAATGAAAAAAAAACACGGGCTCCAAAAAACGTGTGAAGGCTTTATACCATTTGTGCTTTTTGCAATAATATGGAGCCGCTATGATTATTTACCAATCAAAAGTACTGAAATACAGTGTATTTGAGTACGTACCTTCTCCACTAATGCTTGAAAGCACAATGGTATAAAAATCTGCAAGAATTTACGCCTCGTTCTTTGAATAATTCTTAACGACGCAACCCCAATCGATTTTTAACACTTAATTACACATGTGTACGCGTGCTGTTTTCTCTTTTTTTCTCGGATTTCCATGTTTTTGTTTTTGCGTCGTGTTTTTCATTTCATTTTTTTCATTCTCGCCACCACAAAATTTCCATCCGAATAAGTGGAATTAAATTACACTTAGGCGTCCTCTTTCCCGACCACGCGCAATATAAAGCGGAAAAAAATGAGTGAAGAAAAACCACTTACAATTACATGCTATCACAAGAAGGAGGTTTACTTTCCAACAGCAACCGCATTACACGTTCATTCGGCGATCGTTTTTTTTCATGTGAATTGCTTTTTGATTGGTAATAAAACATGAATAAGAAGGAGAAGAAGAAAAAACAAAGGCGAATTACCATTAAAGTGATTTCTGTATTTGCAAAGCGAACAAATGAAAATCGATTTGAATCGACTCATTCACCAAAAATGCCGTGGCATTTCTAGTCCCATCGTTATTGTTCCAAATCAGCTACTACGATTATTTATCGTGCTTCAATCTGAGCGTGTTTAAACGTAATCTTAGACCTTGACCACGAATCATCATATCGAGATTTTTCGATATTCGATGCGCAAACAGATAACGATATACACATAAATCAGAGGAAAAAAGAACCAAAAACGAGTCACTGCAATGTTTCATTTTGTAGTGGTGGAATCTGAATGAACTCGTATTCGAACGAAACAATTTGTTTCGATGTCATCATAAGTCAAAAGTTCGCAATATATACACAGCCATTTAGTGACATTTTTCGTATGACTCACCCATTTAGGATTTGTGGCGACAATAAATGGCTGCCCACACCAACCAACAAACACACATTCCATTTGTTTCCACCAGTTTCCACATTTTGGACTTTGTTTTCTTTATTCTTTTCTATTAATACAGCCATGGTGTCAAAAGGTGGATGAAACCGTTTGATTAATTGTATACAGACATTTCCGAAAACATGGAAATTACACGAAGATTAATACTGAATTGTGATTTCGATTCTATTCACTAGCAAATTATTCGATTTATTTATAAACTGTGAATTTGATGCAAATAGTGTATTATTGATTTATTGCTCATTGATTTTGATACAGACACAATGATTTTTGCGCATATTTTGCATTTCGCTTTTGAATGTTTGCAAATTTCGTTGAAGAATTAAATGAATATTCGCCTCTTTTTCACATCAATTTCTAAGTCTAATTGTATTTTTTTTTTCTATTTTCAGCTGGCGGCATCCGTGCAATGTCGGCAAAAACATTGCGAACGAAACAACCGAAGATGTCAAACCGACAAAAGTTCATTTGTAAGTAAACGAGTTGTCGCACGCATTTTTCATCTTAATTGAAATGTTGACAGAAAACATTAATTTCGTTAGTATTTGCGTTATTTGGCGATAATAATAGTACGAGACACATTTCTTGCATGTTTCATTCAAAATTATTGATTTTGCTATCCGGTGGGAAAAATGCATTGTCTATCTTGGGTTTAAAAATGTGTGTTGCTTCAGAAAAAAAAAAACAGTGTCTGTCCCTTTAATTATAAATTGTATAGAAATTTGACGACAAATGCCAAGTTTAATGCATACAACGGTTGAATATGTGAAATGGTGTGCTTTGCATCAGCATTGAGCCGCGTGCTTTTGCTTTAATCGTTCCATGCAAGCATGGAAAAGCGGAAAATCTAAGCCAAGTTATAAGCATTTGGCGAAAGCGTTGTCAGTCCGTTTGGCAACGGGTGTTCGTTGTTCGTTAGCAGGCAATTGCCATATATATCAGCATGAAAAAAAAGATGATTCATCGAAAGGTGGTGCAACACACAGTAGTTGTTGAGCGATGAAACACTAATGGCCACCAGAGTTAAATTTATACACACGCATCGAAGAGACGGATTACAAGTGCCATAACAATAAAAATCCAGAACTGCCAGTCAGAACGAACAACGAAAAAAAAGAGCAGCAAACGGTGTATCCATGCAGTGTGACAATGGTGGTGTTGGTGGTGGTGGTGGTGATGGTGCGCGCATAGCATCAGTTGTTGGGTAAAAATAGGGTTTGCGTGACGAGACACTGCGGCTAGACTTCATTTCTATATCATAAAACATAGCGAACAACAACAAAAGTACAATCAGCGTGTGCCTTGTGAATATATACACGGCGCTCGCTTTGGTTTTACCAGAATATTAAATTTCAATGTTCGATTTCTCTTGTAGCATTTTCCCATTTATTTGGTTTCCAATTGAAAAACCGCACACAATGTGCACGACTCCTTCGGGGATTTCGAATTGTAATTGAATTTCAAGTTTTGCTCTTTGTCGTTCGCTCTGGAATGGTGCAAATATCAACAATTCATACATATGATGAAGTTTTATGTGATCTAATAAAACTTTATGGTCAAAATGCTGACTAATCGATGAACGCGTTCCGGTAAAGTTTTCATGCAATACATTCATGAACCGAACTTCCTCATCACTTTAACTCGTTTATTTTCGACCGAATATTTATGTGTTTTGAGGAGCCACACAGTTTTTCTTCTTTGTTCTTCTTCTTGTACGTCTCCTTTGCGGTCGCTTGCGATTTATTCGGCAAAATGTTTTGGACGTGCAAATAAAATAGAGAAAAAGAGAGAGAGAGCCGTTTGCATGATAAACGCACGAACAATGCCAATGCCTTGGAGTAAATGGTAGTACCGTTGAGAATGCAAACGTTGGCTTTTCGTGTCTAGATTTGCACATTTCACCTGATGATTAATTCAATGCAGCGTCCATATGCATATTATGTAAATGTGTTTGTGGAATAATTCAGAAAAAAACGGCTGATTTACTTTTTTCCAGTCAGTCGAAATGTAGTGGAACAAACTCCTTTGTTGCTTTGTCTAGTTTTTGCCAAATGTACAATGTGCTGATTTCATTTTAATGGTTTCGACATTTTCTCTTTGGTTTGCCATTTTATTTAGCCACTGAAATCCGTTGCCAAGAGAAGTCAAAGGGCGGTCTTTGCTACGAAGTGATTCTCGGTCAACCCGTCGCTATTCCGAAACAAATCAAAAGCGCACCAGCAACCAAGATTGTGTCGGCCGCTGAAATTGAACGCAAACTCTCTGAAGCTGAAAAACGACGTCTGGTAAGCGAAATATGGCCCGGAGTAAACCGAGGCTGAGAACTTTTTTCCGAAATTGTAATTCATTTCCGAATTCAGGAATTGGAAGCAAAGCGAAGCGCTGATTGGTTGGCCAAGAAGAACCGAATCGAAGAGGCTTCGCGCAAGAAGATCGAAATGGACAAGGTATTCGCCAATCATGCTCGCGAAAGTTTGAACGCCAAAATGGACAACTACGGGGAGAACCGTGAAGCTATCATGGCCGACATGAAAGACAAGCTTAAGGTTTGAACACTTGAAAGCATTTTGGCACTCGGCCAATTCCGAAATTTATTCAAAATTGCACACAACTCATCAAGGCGACGACCTTTTTAAATCAAATGAAATTGACGTATTGAACACGTGGTGTTTTTTTTTTTCTTCTCTTCATCAGAGTCAATTCCAGGAGATTGAAAAAACTCGTTCATCGATGGAACAACAAAAGAGCATTGAGCGCGTTGCAATAGATAAAAAGTTGAAAACTGCCGCCGAAATGCGAGATGAAAATATCAAGAAAATGTTGGAACGCCTCAAGGAGCATGTATGTACAGCAGTAAATTTAGGCCGATGCATATTTTTTGAACTTTGAAATGAAAATTATGTTATTTTTGAAATGTTTTCTATATTTTTACCATTTTTTTTTTTTTTTTGGAACATTCACATCTGCCAAATCGGACACAATCTACAACATACAAAAAAAATACACAAACACACAAAAATCAATACATAATCCCTTCGCCCCTTCCTCAACTAAAACATTTATGTAGAACAAATTGGCGTCTAGAGCTAAAGCTGATGCTCGTCAAAATCAACGAGCGATGGAAAAATTGCACATTTTCGAAAATAAATTATTCCTTGCTGAACAAAATCGGGAAAAAGAAATACAGAAAAAACTCGACACCATACGCCGACACGTGGGTTTCTTTCTCTTTCATTTTGTTGATTTGTATTTTTGTTCATGATTTTTTCTTCTTCGTATTTTCTATTTCCATTCGATTCGATTTTGTTTTTCCATTTTTTTTGCACACGAATGCCCGATATTCAATTTTTGTTTGTGCGCATTTTCAGGATCGTCATGCTGAAATTGTTCGCCAAAAAGCGTTGAGCGGTAAAAGCGAACAAAACGAGCCAGTTGCTGTTGCATGCGGTTAAATGACATTGAATCTATGCTTCACGCTCGGAAGCGGTAAGCCGTAGTCTCAAACATCTATACTCCAGTTTAAAAAAAACGCGGTGGAAACGAACATTGCCCAACAATTTGGCAAATATACAACACAAATTTTATATTTATTCTCCAATATTCGTAAAATCCTTGCTTCTGAACGAAAGCTCAACCAAAAAAAAAGAACATTTACTCATGTAATCAAATATGACAAAAAAAGAAGAAAATGATTTTCGTTTCATTTTGTTTTTTAATTGCTATAAACTCAAGCTTTATACACGTCAAGTCTCAAAGTTCAATTTGCGATGGTCTTATGTAATCCATAGGGTAAAAACAGTTCATTTAAGATTCGGGATTTGCGAACGTTTATACACGATATGATATGTCAGATTTTGATAGCGAACAAAAGTGCGAAAATTACTCGAATAATAAATCAAATCGCCTTTCAAGTGAACAACCAAATACGGGCATAAATTTTGTGTTACACGTTCCACAAACCATTACATAATCTATATATTCTTCGCTCTATTTCCATCTCTGCGTATATTCTCCCCTCAAAACAAAACAGAAAAAAACCTATACCTAAATATACCATAATCTCAACTCGCTAAATATACCAAAGCGTTGTACTTTTTGATCCCTTACTCGTTGCGATTTTGTGTCTGTTACAAAATACATTGCATCAACTGTACGATTTAACTTGTTACTGATAAAAAAAAAAAGTGGTGAACCAAAAATGGAAACTGTATTTTGCGCGCTTAAAGTACAAACGGAAACGAAAAATGCAAATGCACCAGAAGCGGGTTTTGCATCAACAATTTGCATATCGATTCAGAAAGAAAATCCACACGTGGATGAAATCGTAGTTTATGTAGTTTGAGTCAGTTAGCTAGTCGTTCAACAAATTGTAGCCATTTAGAGACACAAAATAAACGCCTCCGTTCGACGCAAAGCGAAAATAGTTGGCAAAATCATCGGCTTGTTTCGATTGCGTCGAATAATTGCCACCTCCTCGCTCGTATTAACCCATTGTTGAGAATATTCCAAATTTTAAATGTTTTGAGCAAAATCTATTTATCCAGATGAGAAATAAAATGAACACCTCAGGTGCTTACCGATTCACTTATCACGTATCGCAAATCATTTTATGCCCGATGAATACTACAACAGATATGTAACACTTGCGCAAATATTTATGACCAATCTATATGCTTACACTATATACTTCGATATCATAGACACTTTAAACAGTTCTAGTGAAGAAGAAAAAAATAGACAAATTCATTGATACGTAAATGCGACACAAATTTTGACATAGTTTCACACCCACAGAAAAATGACACAATCACAGCCAATGATTCTTCCGTTAAATAAAATTAATTGCTCAAAATCAATTAAAATTTCACTTTCATCAGAGACACATTTTTTTCTCGATTGCTTCACACCCAATTTTCCTTTCTACACTTTCGAAGAAGACTTTCAAAGAAGAAATAATTATGTACCATCCAGGATTGGCCATCTCTTTTGAATTTAAATGAATTAACTGAGATTCGATACGATATGATTGCAAAAAAATTGATAAAATTAAAAATGGTCCATTTTTGAACAGAATTTTCCAAAATTTAATAAAAACCAATTGGAAATCGAATGAAAGTTTCACTTTATGTCATGAAACTAAGGTCAAAAAGACGTGTTTTATTGAAAGCTTGCCATTTTAATGAAAACTCCAGAAATTCGGAGCAAACAACAAGAAAAAAAAACAAATTCGCTTATTGCACGTTTGAGTGTAGCTTATGAACAATTTTTACTCATATTGTAAATGATTTGTTTCTTAAATGACAAAAATCATATGGATTTAAAGAGAAAACAAAAATCAGTTGAAAAAAGAAGAACATAAGACACGAATTGAACGGTAGATATGAAATTTTGTACGATGATATTTTGTATGCGTGTAAAACCTAGCAAAACGTATATTTGTCGCTTATATTTTTGCTAAAAAGTCAATATGATAAGCTAAGGACTAATAAGACCAAATTGTAACCGAATATATAGAGAAAAATGAAAAAAAATCAGTGTAATCGATGACAAAAAACATCATAGAAAAAAAGAAAAGAAAACATATTGTAGCCTTTTTACCGTTTTTGTTTTTCATTTTTTACTTGTTGTAATTTAAAGTGCCGCAATGTTGCCTTCTTACTCCAGCCATTTAGTTCCAGATGCTTTAGTCAAAATTAGTGTGCGTTTTTGTTTTGTTGTCATTTTTGCTTAAGCCAATTTTTCGTGCTTAATTCTTTTTTATACACAAATTGAGCTGATTTTATGTGATTTGTAAGTTTATTAACATAAAACGAGATAAAAAAAAAATGGATATAAAAAAATATTGGAAGACTGAATTCATTTGAGTTGACAGTGTTTCCTTTTAATACTTCTTTTTGTTCAACCGTTCAAAATTCAACTGGCCACAACACACTCAGATTTAAATAAGTTTGATATAAAGCAAGAATACACAATACTAGTCATTCACTTGTGGTTTTAAGAGCCTGAATCGGACATTCTGCATCAGACACTCAAAAACCCGAATGTAATGCTTGAACGAAATAGTTTCGTTGGAATCACCTACGGATTTCAAATGAATTATGTTTGGCACTTCAAGCACATACACCATAGACAAAGCTTTTTGCGGGGATGGTGATTGAAAATGGATATTCGTTGGAATTTTCAATCGATACTCACTGTTTATATCAACTGATTCAAGTTCGACTTCGAACATTGCCGAACCATAGTGCAACGCTTAGTGCTGCCATTCCTTTCGATATAACAATCAGTCAAATACATTCTAAATGAAATCGGTATTCGATCACCATTTCCTCGCAAAAAGTCACATTAATACGCAAAAAATAGCCCCCTTGAAACGATGAAACCATTATTCAACTGCAGAATTAAATAAATAACAATATCAGATAAACATATATAACTTTAGTAATATGCAACCCAAACATATATATGTATTCAAATGATTAAGTCAGCGACCATTAAACGACATTTTCGTATGGATTGTATAAAAAGCGTTCGACAGAGCGACCAATTAAAACAGAAAAACAAACAAAAAAAAAAACGTTTTACATTTATATAATCGCTTTAATAAACAAAGAGTCCAAAAAGAACAATAAAAAAAAAAGAGCAAACTCAACCAAGGTGTGGTTTCTCTTTTTGTCTCTTCGCTTGCAGCAAGATCAATGTTTTACACACTTATTGGCCTAATAGAGAAAAAAATGGTAAGAAAAACAATCATGGTAAATTTAGACTAGTTTTAGAAAGAGAAGATCATCCAGCCAAGAGAGTCTGTGTGTGTGTGTATGTGCTAAAAACGGAGTGAATGAATGCAACCAATAGAATCACTTACACAGGTAATAACATAAGGCTACGAGCTAAAATATGGTCATTAAAAATAGGCGGTAATTACCGATAAACGGTATTGGAAGAAAGTAAAAAAAAAAAATATTGCACAATTTCAAAATGATTGACACTTGTTGGCTCCGTTAAACATAATGTTTTTCTCGGTTTGTTTTTTTTTGTGTGTTTGTTTAATGATTACACAGAGATTAGTCTGCGATCAACTTTGGAATAGATTATCATTAAAATGAGTAGCATTTTTATTGCACATAATTAAAATGGTTTACTGGTTTTGATTGGCCTGCTGTGTTTGGCGCTTTCACACATCATAGCTAACATCAGCCATGTATCCGTGGGCATCGTCTGCCTTGTATTTAACGTTCTGCGTTCGGCCGTCTGGCATTAATATTTTATACTCTCCCATTGTCGTGCCGTCAGTCATGCGTTTTTGCGTATGTCCAAAATCATTGCCCGTGTGATAATCTCGCACTCGATACCCAAAGGCATAGCCTGACTCAACCTAAAAAAAAAAAATGTGAACGAAAGAGAAAGAGAAAAAAGGAAAATCGTTCACACCAATTGGCACCGTAAATGCAGCGGAACATAATAATAGGGGGTAATTGAAAGTTATACCAGGTCATCATAGTTGGATGGTTCGACATGAGTGGTGACAAATGTATGGCCGGCAATGTGCGGTCGATTCACTTTGTGCGATCCAATGACTTTGTTCAGATAAATGAGATTTTTATCCGGCACAATGTCTTTGTTGCCCGATAGATTGATGAACGACTGGTCAGTTGTGGACGACGGTATGGCTGTTGTTCCTTTTGAGAAATAATCTGGTTTTGGTGTGACATGCACCACTAGCTCATCCTTTTCCAAACGCTTCGGCACAACATTCAAATGTGGATTATGCTTTTTCAGATCGCTCACCGCCTTGTTGATCAAATTGATTGTATTTTTGTCATGCGATAATGGCACACCGGTGTCTGGATTTGTTGGAATTCGTTCGGGTAGCTCGGCCGAATAATATTTCACAAAAGTTTGGGTCTTTGGTAGTTCCGTCGATGTGGGAAATATAACTGGTGACGTAGATAGAATGCTATTTTGTGTGGTGCGATAAACCCCGTTTATAATGTCATCTTCACCGAATGGCTTCGATTCAATCACTGGCTTTATATCGGCCGTCACCTGATGGACATTCTTTTGGTATGTATAAGGTTTCGAGTAAATCCGATCACCGTACAAAAATCCAACACCGTTTACTAAATCCGATGCCACATTCATTGAATAACCCACTGGATATTTCGGGTATGTGTATGCACGTAACAATGGATATGCAACATAATCATTTGCCGAAGCGAGTGGTTTTAGCGTGGTTGGACTGATTTTAGAATAACTGACCGGGGTTTGTTTTAAACTTTGCGCTGCCAAAACCGGTGGTGGTTGCCACCATTGTCGAATACGACTGTCGCTGACGAGCTTCGCACCAGCTGGTAATCGATCGACACCGATGAATTGCTTCGTTTTCGGCGTTGGATCTTTGAAGTAATATTTAATTGTATCTAAAAATGGAATTTGAAAATCCTGTTTCAACGCATGGTTTATCGCTTTTTGTACACTGAACGGCAATTGCTTAACAGTTTTCGTACGTTGTGAGTCGAATGCGGTGACTGGAGCTGGATGTGAAATGGTTAACACACGGGAATCCGATCCAGATTGATCGTCAGAAGTCTTCGGTGTATCAATACTTTTCGTTTCGATTGCCTCCGTACTCGTTGCACTGTCTTGCCTTCGAGCTTTGCGCTGTCGCGGCCGTTTATTACTGTTTGCCTGCTGTGGGTTGTAGCGTTGTTGTGCTGCAAAATCCGGCACTTTTGCATCGGCCAATTCAAATTTGAATATGTCTCGTGGCACAAAGTCTGATCCAATTGCACGATCGCCCGAGCGATCGATTGGAGCGGCTGCTGTTGTCGGCGTTGCTATTGTTGTAGTCGTCACTTTCGCTCTCTGCAAAACCAATTCAATATGTGATTACACTTTTTTTCTAAGGCTGAACGTGCCGAATGTTTTTCGTTTACCCTTTGTTGTCGGCGCTGTGGTCGAGAAACATCGCGTGTATTTTGACCCGTATTCGTAACCACGTCACTTGCTACAACCAACGGTAGCAACAGGTACTTCACCACAATCAAATTCAAAAACAGAAAAAATAACGAAAGAAAAAAGAAACAAAAACCAAATCATTTTCAAATCAAAGTCGCCGATAAATGCGATCAATATTGATCGACTCTTACCAGAATCAAATGCATTTCTCTTTCTGTGTCTTTTTTCCGCCTTTCTTTCTTTCGAAAATGTATATCACAAAAATATGTTTGCAGCGCAATCGAAGAATTAATGCGCTAAATTAAAAAAAAAAAACAAAAACTTAACCTTTAACACACAACTGGTAACACTTTGAATGTAAATTCTCAAGTAATTACACTTTCGATGTGCTATTTGCGGCGTGCGTACCAAAACGAAATCTAATGTTAGGCTGGATGGTGTTTTGAATGATGATGCTGACGGTCTTGTGGCTTTGTGCCGACTAATTGAAAACAAATCTCGTATATTGTTTAAAATAGTCAGTTTTTGCAAATCCGTATGGACGTAAAGGAAATCGGAAAGTGTAAACGATTGCAACAACAAACCTCTTGCAAATGCACACGTTCACGCTCAATCAACAAACGAAAAAAAAAAAACAAATGCGGTGCAGTGGAAGTGCGGCATCATCAAGACTCACTCTCTATTAAGCGATACAAATCGACGTTTTTTTTTATATATTTGACCACATCACACATATCTTCGTCCGAACCCAGCCGCTATAAACTGCACAGAGGCAACTATCGATAAAATCAGTCGGTATATTTTCTCCATTTCCATCATCAGAATCGATAGATTTGTATATGTGTATTCAAGTGCATGCCATGCACATTTCCACACACATACCGGATGGATGCATTGGTCGTATGCGCACTCTTTTTCCTTGTATCGATTGCAATTCGCTCTGTGGTTCCGCCTGAAATGTACATACGCCTTCGGAATTACAGCGTCGGCACAAAGATTAACTTGGTCGGTTTTAGCAACAGCATTTTATCAAATGCATACACTCCATGTCTAATCTATGTTTGAGTGTGTAGAAGTGGTTATAAAATGATCATTTGGTGAATTCGTGCAATTGCAGTTGCATGTCGAAAACAAAATAAAACACAACCATTCGAATGGCGTTGTCCGATTCGAAGTTTCTTAAAGCCGAAAAACCAGAACTCCCACCGTACACCGAGACTACTTTGAATGCAAAAATTTCGGTTTTCATTCATATTGCCACTGCTGCCGCCGCCGCCGACATGTGTCTTAATGCCATATTTTATAATCCGTTTGCTTTCTTTTCTAACACAAACGGCAATCAATTCAAACGCTATAAATTATGTCGCAACTATTTCGATGTTCAGGTTCATTCAATTCGACGTTGTTGTTTTGCATGCAACGCGGACGAGCGATAGAAAGGAACGAAAGACAAAGAGTGAAGCCGAATGCAATTTAAATTACAAAGTGCTTTCGCGATATAATAATAATAGCGGCGATATGCATAATATTCTCTTTTCTGTGTGTAGAGATTTCATAAACACGTATTTCATTTCCATGGACTTGATCTTGGCAGCGACGGCTGCTGCTCTTGCTGCTGAGCCACTTGCTCAGTCACCTTTCATTCTCATTCATTCGCACACTTAAATTGTTGCATTCTTCGATAATATGCATTTCCGAGATGAAGAGGAAAAAGAAATGACGATGGAAAAAAGTGAATAGCGAGTTGCTGTTGTTTTTTTTTCTCTCTCTGTATTCATATTGGTTCGTTTGTTGCTAAACCAGATTTTAGCTGAGAGCAGGAATTTCGTTTTGTTTATACAGATCACTTTCATTGGACGTACGAGCGCTTTTCTTTTCTTTTCTTTTTTTTTACAAAATCCACCGTTACACACATCAATCTGGGTTGTCTCGCTCGCGCATCTGACGCCTTGCTCTGTTCACCGTATTTCACATTCACATGTGCAACGAATAAAGTGTAATGTCACGAATGTGTTTAACGTTGCTGTTGCTGTTGTTGCTGTTATTTTTCTCCATACATTCGAAAGATCAAAACCGGCTTGTCAGAGTGATGATGATTAAAGTGGCTGCATTTATACATTGAAATTGAAAATGCAATCATTAAAACCAGCACGAAATGCTGTGGCAGTGTGCATCACGACGAACGACGCAAAACAGCATTGGGCAATGTAGCGGTAGGTCATTGTCTGATTTCATTAAACCATGTGCATACATTCAATCAATGTCTCTCTCTCTCTCTCTCTCTCTCGCTCTCTCTCTCTCTCTCTCTCTGTCCGTCCTTCTCGTTCTCTATCCAATCGATTGATTGCCCATATCGATATGTGAATTCATCACACCGAAGAAAGTAAAATGAAATGTTACGAATGGATGGAGAGAAAATTCAAGGAAAAAAAAACAATAACAGTAAAAACACGAATCGACTTGGCTCGATAAAATGCAGTACTAGAAACTAAACTGGTTTGTTCGGTTTGGTGGTAAGGAAATGCATTTTTTTAATCATGCATTTGGCAGTAATATCACCCCTAATACAGAAAGTCCGTAATAGTCACCTTTGTGATTAAATATCTTTGTAATAGTCATCGGGTGGAAGCTAAGACCGAAAACAACTGTGGCGACGCGAGCGCCCTCAATTCAAATAGGAAAATCAATGTAATTTCATAATTTTTTTCTGAACTAAACAGCGCGCCAATTTGAATTTTGTTGATGCTTCCACCCTATGTGATTAGTTCACGGTATTTCCGTGTGAGTGCAACGTAAATTTCGATTCAAAATCACGGCACCAAGCTGGTGGCGTCATCATCGATTTTCGTGGGCATTTCCAAACATTTCTTCGGTTTTTTCCCTCAACATTAACATTTCTATTCGCATTTCTATTAATCAAATCGTTTAATCAAAATCCATTCAAAGAGCCATTGCTTTTGTTGGTGAAAATCTGGTTTATAGCATAATTCAATGTCTTTGTCTCCTGCTTTTCAATTTTTTGTGACAATGTGAAGACCATTAATGCAAATTTGAATGATAAAATGAGCGGTTTGAAGATTTATAAGCGGATTAAAGCATGCGCGAAACGTGTTTTGATCATTGTCGTCGTCGTCATCATCGATTTTTATCATGTTTAATTTTCTCGATTGTTGTTTGTTTTTCTAGTCAGTTCGAGGTATTGGCAGTTTTCTCAATGCGACAAACTGATGACAAAAACCGTGGGTACATGTTCGGAATCATTTCACTAACAACATTATTATCGCCCATTCGGCTGCCGTAATGATTGCTTCCACTTTTTTTCTCGTTTCGTTGCTTTGTTTCTCTTCTTCGGTGTCTATTATCACAGTCACTCTTATGTGGCGCGCGCGCAAGCACGGTAGCAAAGTAAAATTGATCTCATCATCCCGCATGATTACACTTTCGATTTCAAACGCGAGATCAATTTATGTGATCGGGCAGCACAGTGGGAAATGACGTTTATTTATGTAGGAAATAAAAATTACCGCATGACCGTCCACATCCAACATGAATTTTTTTTATTGGCATTCAGAAAAGCGGTTTGATTCTTCAGACCGGCTAATACGAATACATTTATATTCATCACACACCACGACTCGTTTGATTCATGCAGCGCACTCGATCAGATATAAATCGATTATCAGCCAAATCGACTGAGCATAATTAGACTATTGAACTTTTTGTTTTGATTCACGTCTGCGTTGCAGTTGGGGCCAGCGGCAAGATCAGCAAATCATAGTGCAAGCTCACTTTCGACTAACCTCTTATTAGCATCACTTTGATCTACCATTTCAGCCGTTTAACACATCATATCGAATGGCTGCCAGTTCCGAGAGAGTGAATGAGCTGGGGAAATACCTTCTTCTATGATGATGATCGCACCGCTTCTTGTTGTTTAATAATAGAATAGCAAGTGACGATTAATTACACCCATTTCAATTCACCGCTGCGGCCGATTGATTTCGCGGAAAAAGGGCTTATTTACATGACATTAACGAACATCCATCAAATCGAGTCAGCTCAATGGAAAATCGACATTGTGAATTGTTTTGAATCTGTTTTTAATTCGTGATGAATTGAAGCGAACCCATTTTCGCTAATCACACTTAATTCAATTAAATCGGAATAAACAACTGATGGCAATTAAATTAATATCATTTCAATATCAACATAAGTCGGAAATGGATTCAGCTTAGGAAGCCGCCGCTATATTTGCATTAGTTTTCTTTTGTTTTATTTGTATCAGTTTGAAAGAGTTCAGTTAATAACTTTTCAATGAAATTCAATTAATAAGTTTTAGAGAAAAAGTTGTGGACTTTCGATGAAAGTTGAGAAATTGAACGTTTTTTTTCTACGGTGCTCGTTTTGATAATTTTTTTAATTATTTGCTCAAATAAAAGTTACAATTACGAGAAATTCATTTTTGATCGTTATAATTGGCTGAAATACCATTTTGTATTAAAATACTGTCGTTAGATTCAATTTGCCTAGAGCTTGGCGCAAAAAATAAACAGAAAATAACAAATAAATCGTAACGGTTTTACATCGAACATCCGATCATTTTCCGCCTTTAATTCCCATTAATCATCCATCGTCTCGGGTTATTTATTCATTATTCGGTGCACCCATGTAATATATTTTAAAAGAGTATTAGGGATACATTTTCTGAGTTTATTCATTTACAATTGTCCAGCAGCAAAAATCTCTGAACTGAGACCGAGTTTAATTACAACTATTTTACACTCATAATTCAAGATTGATTACAATCATGATCGTGCAATTTGTCTTGTTCCTTTCAGCAAGTTTTCATTTCAATTTGGAATGTGCACGATAAGAATCTACAGCTGGAACAATGTAAGAAAGCACAGCGTGAAAACGTTCATTTCGGTGTTAGATTCAAGTTAAAGTTCATTTTGATGTTAGATTAGTATTTGATTCAAAATTATAATGATGTTGTTGTTTTGGATGCATATTTCGTTATTGCGAAGAGTTGTTCGTGATTGGTAGTTTAGATCAATTGTACTAAGATGTACAGCATTAAAAAAGAAAAAAATGTGTACCTATCAAGATTTTAAGTTGTTTTCCTTCGTTTTTAATCAATAGATTTACAATTTTGTATGGAGAACTTGGTCGATGAAAACTTTCCATTCATTGAAAAGTTACAATAAATTCAATTCGATATCATGTGAAACAATCCATCAAATTCCATGCCATCCTAAAAGGTGCTGGGTGACATAAGTCATAAAATCATGAATACCATAAAATTTACTATCTATCTTTATGATTTGGAAATTAATGCAATTCCACATAATTGAAATCCTTTGAAAACACAGTGGCCATATTAGAGGGAATTTTTGCTTTAGAAAAATTTATTGCTTTATAATCACTGTCCACAAAGCGATGTAAAATCGTGATGAAGAAAAAAAAAACCAGTTATCATAATAGAATGTGCACAACCAGGAAGAAAAGTTTAAACGAAACTTGATGTGTGTTCACGTAAACTGTGCGCGCGGGGCAACTTGGCCTAAGAAATTACGCACATCACATGGCTGAAAATTATATAAAAAATCATTAAAAGCAATAATTTATTGAAAATTGGTCGATATAGTTATTTTCTATTCCGTATTGCCTTTTTACAGAAAATCTTCGGGCTGCTCTCGAATATGTGGTGTTCGGTGTAGCCAACGCGTAAAATGACGGAAGTTTTTCGATAATTTTCTATTCCATATTTTTTTTTTTTTTTAGTTGGCGGTGATGCAACATGTGTGTGTTTGTGATTAAATTACAGATGACCAATTACTCTTATGGCATAGTCTAGTGATATTAGAGCATCTTCTTTTGGTGAAGTGATTTTTTTGCCGTTGTTGTTGTAATACATACTAATTGCGTTGTGCCATCAGTAGGAGTGCGTATATTTGTGTTTCGTTCGAAGATAAACAAAATTCACAACTGGTTACAAATGGCAATTGCAGCGTTTGTTTTTGTTTTTTTTTTCGATGAAAGTGTACGGATACTCAACTCACGGCTACCGATGGAAATACGTCGCGAGACTTCGAATATGCGCGATGCACAGCACAATGAGGCGATTGCGTGTTTGGGAAACATGTTTTCGAACACGTCAAACATGACAGTCGATTAACCAAATGAAAGTAACAAACACACGGAGTGTGTGTGTCTGTGTTGGGCACAGAATGTAGACGACAAGGAAAAGTTAACATCCAACTGATTGATTGGTCACATATACCAAATAAACTGGAACGATACACATTAAACAACACCACAGTGAAGTGATTTTTTTTTCATTTGGCGAATGCGATGCACTCGCTAAGGAAAGCTGTTAAGCGGTAATTTGTGTTTGGAGGTTTCGAGAGAGAAACTTTTTTTTTTGTTGCTTGCTTGTTCGTTAGTTAGTTTTTTTTCTAGCGACGATGCAAACAAGATGAACCCAAATTTTAATTTAACAAAACAAATAGAAGTGTCTTTGAATTTTAATGAAGTTTCTTCAGAAAGCACTCGAGATTGATTTCTTTCACTCCATTCAACGGAAATTTCAGTAGCAAAATCACTTTTGACACACCTCAATTCAATTGAAAATTCAGCTTAACACGAAGCCAATTGAGATTTGATGAGAGGGAATCCGATGTTAATTTTACTAATTCAACGTCTTATGTTGACTGTGCAAAATCAATGCTCATCGATGAAAGTTTAAAAGTTTTTTCTATTTTATTTAAACATTTTCCTCGGTTTTATTCGGTGTCATTCACTTAAAGATCGAATTGATTCAAGAATGAAATTGATTTTTTCTCAATCTGCATTAAGTTATTTGCTCCTCACTTTTATCTATTGCCTTTTATACCTTATCTAACCTGTTTTACTAGTAAAAAATGTCGTTTCGTCATCAGTATTTCGCGTTAGGAAATACTATTGAAAGTCTGTGCTGCTAGCGATTTTGCCATGACTCTCCATCGAAGTATTGCAAACTCGATGTAAGCACGTTTCAGCTATTATGGTCTCCTGGAATGTAACATATTTTCGAAATTGCCATTCGTCTGCGTTAGTTCCTGTGATAAAATCTTCCTTCAAAGCTCTGGTGATTGTGTACTTCGACAGAAAGAAAATATTTATTCGGTGCTATCGATTCGGATTCGATGTGAATAGAAAGCTTGAATATATCATTTGAAACAGGGAAAAAAATGCCAAATTAGAAATTGAGCTAAGAGCAAATTGAATGCAGCAGCTGTTGTCAGTTTGCGTTGTTTGATTAAATTGCATGGCAAAGCGATACGAGTTCAAAAGGAATCGAAACCATTTACATTCCAAATACGAGCGATTTATTCATGTTTTTTCTTTCTCGTCAGTATTGGATCTAAAGCGCCGCTAGACATCACAGCAATGTAAGAAAGAAACCGGGCATATTTTCATTTTTTGGTCAACGTAACCGCATACATTATTTGAATCAACACTGTTGATTCAACAGTGATTTATTCAATGTTCGTGCGGTTCACAATGGTTCAAAATAGAGGCGTTCGTTCATTGTGTTGTTGAATAAAAAAAAAATGAAAAGTGTTTAAATTAAAAGTCATTTGGAAATCGTTGCGAAGAGGTAATTCGAAGAGGAAAAAAACATGCGTACCGTAAGCTCAGCCTGAGTATCAATGGCATTGTGCTAAACTGACCAAGTTACGCATTGAATGGTAAGAAAAAAGTCTTTGGCCAACCTCTTTGTCCATTGAATGCGATTTCTTTAGTCATGAAAATCTGCACTGAAAATCATTTTCAATTGAAAATTGGGCTGTGTAAGAGTGGAGCTGATTAATACGCCCTGACATTTTTTTTTTCCTTTCTTCTTTCGCTTTCATTATGGTCTACGCAGCTTGCACACCATATGAATTTTTCGTGACCACAAACCGCAATTAGCGAATCGTTTGCATTTCTACTTATTTTCCCAATTAAATAAATTGAAACACCGATGAATTACGCAAGTTTATTACGGCCTTGGTTTTCTTTGCAGCCTATAGAAATGCAACAGAATCTGTCTTAAGCGATTTATGTTCGATATTAAAATGTGAATTTCTAACCGAGTTTTTGTCCTTGTACTGCATTCGATTTGATAAAGAGCTCTTTACCAGTTTGCAACTTTTACTTGTCAAATCGATAACGCATCGGCAATTGAACACGTACTCGAGCTTTGCTAATTTCTTTTCGGTGTCACACAATTTTGACGTGATTATTTTTTCACTGATTCGTCTGTTATTGCGAACCAATTGATTCTGATTATGTGTGGAAAGCAATGATGAGATACACACACGTGCGCACCTACCATTTGAATTAATTATCAATTAACGCTGGCAATTTTTTTCTTCTTTGTTTACGATCATTTGACGCGCGAGATACATGTGGATAATGATGCGTGTTTTATCGATGCGTCTGCACCTATATTTCTGTAGCCGTTTAAATATAGTCGTTTAAATCGCGTTTTCTCATCATTTTCAAGCGAAAATGAAACCAGCCATCAAGTAAAAGTGCAGCAATCGGTCGTTGTGCGAGACTCGTTTTCACTCTCGTTTCTCTCAATTTCGTTCTCAAAATGCGCACGTTAACTCAATTTTGCTCGACGCATACGGGGCCACTGTTACATGCATCAAAATTTATGGTGTCTGCAACAACAAAAGAGTGAAAGAAAGAAATAAGCGAACAAATCCTTCTTCTCTCTGTCACCATCAACGCGCCGATTTACTTTCAGCCAATTTTAATGAATGAAACACTAAATATGGCAGATAAAGATTCAAATAAATGATAGCCAATTTCTGTGGCACAATGTATGAGAATGATATACATATTCTCTCTGTGTGTCTCGATCTTCGTATGTATGTATGAGTGTTGTCGCTGGCGGAAAATGCTTGTGATTGTTATTGTTATTGTTATTGTCATGGAATTCACATCGATCACATTCGCACGCAGACAAAACTAACTACGCTCACACGATGTGGCAGTCTGTGCAGTCAGTGTTTTGTTTTACTTGTTTCGATTAAGAATAATTTGAATTTTTAATTTACAATTTCGGAAACGCTCTGATATACATAAACGAAAAATGCACAATCGAATGAAAAAAAAGTACAGAGACGTTGTATATGTATATTTTCGGTGGCTGAGTGGCAGCGTCGAACACATATACATGATCGTGTCTTTTCTTCCATAACATAATTTTTGTTGTTTTTGTTTATTTTTTTTTTTTTTTGAAACTATGTGGCAGCGAAAGAGAAAGAATGGGCCATATGAAATGTGCCACACGATTTGCTCGCGATTTCAATAATAAATTTTATTATTGCTTCGTATCGGAAACCGAAAACGGCAATGGTTTTTTGAATTTTAATCCGAAACGACAAATCACAGTCGCAACTCGGTTCATATATATTAAAATGTGGTTCATTTTCAGTGCACACACATGGCACATATATACACAAATCGATTGTTTGTCTCTCTTTTTGCGTGGTGTGTGTGAACTGTTGTGCGCGAGAGCGATGATACCGTTTTACTTGAGCGCCAGCTTAAGCATGTGGCGGCCACAGCTTCACATCATCAACGCACCATCGAGCGCATTTATTCGCTCGTGCACCTTCGACACGTTTAGTTGGATCGTGTGGCGTCTGCAGTTTTGCTCTTTCAGTTTTGTTTGTTGACTAGTTTTGTGTATTTCCAATCGATCGACTCTTTGCGTTGTGGAGTGCGGTGTTTGTGCTGTGTGTGAAATCACCGGATTTTTCTTCTTCTTCTTCTTCTTCTTTATTTCGCTAGTGCTGCAGATAAGAGTCACAGTGTCTTGATCTTATTCGGCGGGGGTACTATTTAATATGGAGCATTTTTAACATTCTAGATCAGTCATAATTTGTTTGTGATAATTGAATGAGCGTGAGTATCAGTGGGCCGCCACACTTGGATGTGGACGCGTTCAATTAGATCGATTTGCCTGACAGCATTTTACCATTTATTATTATTATCAGTTGGTTTTTTTTCCTTTAATTATTTGTTATTACAAATCATTTGCGAGTATCATCAGCGTTTCTCAATCGTCGTCGTCGTCGTCTATGCGTCGCGTCGTGTGTATGTGAAAGAATGAAAATAACAAGCTATACACAAACCAGTAATAAAAGTGAAATTATATGTTTAAAGTGCGATCGTTTGAGCGGCGTTTTCGAAATGAAACGAGAACAAAAGCACAATAACGCTGCATCATATTGACAAAAAAAAAACAACAACGACAACAGCGCAACATACGCGGAGAAGAAACAACCGAACAGCACATGAACAATGGAATAATTTAGCGGTTGCAATGAAATTTCCTAGCGGATGCCGCCGCCTCTTATATTTTCCAAAAAAAAGAACACAACAAAGAAAAAGAAATATATATCGAACACCACCTGTTGAATTCGATACCTCGGCAAAAGTGTTTTCGAATGAATAATTTTCGTTTCATTGTTTTTTTCCTTTGCTCTGGTCAACACATTCGTTTTTCGTTTGGTCAACCGATCACCGACTTGAACACATTTTTGTTTACATATCGAATTTTCTCCGGTCATCCAATCCAAGCCAAGCCAATCCAGAGCACCATTTCAATCGAGAAAGTGTTGCATTTAATGAAAGACATACACACACCGAGAAAGAGAGAGAGATCAATTTAAGACGACGAATATTCATGAGTTATTAAAGTATTAAGCATATTGCCACTTGCCGTTTCACTTTCAGCTGACTGGAGATAGGGAGCATGCGAAGAGAGTCAGATCTTTTCAGCTTCCGTGACTCCAATTTATGCACACACACACATACTCAGCGTTTTTACGGTTTTAATCATATGTTTGTTTTAATCGAATCTCGTTAAATGTTATATTACTTACCCATTACGAAAGATTTTATGTCATTTCACAACAACGACTTAATCATAGTAAAATTTACAAGATCCAAATCGTTTTTCCGCAACGATGACATTTGTGTGTATGAGGCAAAGTCAACCAGAGAAGGAGAAAAGCAAACAAAACCAAAATAAACATTGTTTATTTGGCTTGTTTTACCTATGTTTTCGGAAAAAGTCAAGAGAATAAATGATGATTACTTGATTTCGAAGAGAAAATTGAAGTTTAAGCATAAAATGAGTTTGAAGATGTTTGACTGATTGGTGAAAAGCGAACCAAATTGTATTTATTCAACGGTTCACACTCAATTATTACATCACCTGATGAATGCTGATGAGACGCGCATGTCAATGAAAATCCATCATTTCGATCGCAATACAATGGGAATCATCCAATTATCTTTTGATTACGTACGATTTTCTCCGTCGTTCCACATTAAAATCTCGCACCAATTTCTCACTGCATTAGATACATAATTATAAAATGAATAGTAAAATGCCCTTGAATCGATCGTGTTCTTTAGATATCGGCTATCCACCTTTTGAATCCTATGATCAATCTTTAAAGCATTTCTTTTCCCCTTTGTAGATACACGCAAAACAGCGCAACGAAGACAGCGAGAAAAAAAATCGGTTTTATTTTCATTTCACGCTTTCCGAAATGCTTGGAAACGAGGTAATTCATCAACTTATTTCGCAATTTACACCGTTGCTCTTCATAATCGCGATGCAATCAAATGTGAATTCATTCATTTTTTTCTTTTTGTCAACTTCTTGTGGCATTTCGTTGCAATTGTTTATGTTTTTTTTCTTTCAGATAATTGTAGTAGCGTTATTGATTACCGGATGTTATTCAGCCGATGACAATACAAAAACAATCGGTGTTAACGTAACCAAAACTGACGCAATATCTAATGAAACCGTTTCGACAACAGTCAAATTACCATCGGTGTCAACGACAACGGCGACAACAACAACAACAACAACGACATCGACAACTGAATCATTTCCATTGTTAGAAGATTTGGTGTCAGCCGAACGTGCTAACAATGCCGATAATGATGGAAATCATGACGACGATGAAAAGAATACTGCCAAACGAACGATTAGCAGCAAATTTACTGGGCCAATTGTTGTAAATGAAGAGGTGAATTTGTTTACGCCAGTCAATGAATTTTCGAGGAAGCAACGGATAAATGTGCAAATAATTGAGCCGGAGGGTCATAATAATGGGCAATTTTTGAAACAAACGGTATTTCAGCGACAAGAAAATAATACTGTGATTACGTCAAAAACAACAACCACTTCGACGACGGAGCGCCCGGAACGACGTAAAAATATCGTAGTTGAACAGAAATTTTTGGCACCAATTCAGGTTGGACAACGATTATCGAATGATGCAAAACAACGGAAAAATGATGAAGACTGCGATGATCCGCCAACCAATCGACCAATCGTTGTGACGGAGAGAATAAACCGACCAATCGTAGTGACAGAGCGACAAAATCGATTGTTGGAAAATGTTGACGTTCAAAAAAATACGCAAGTTATTCACAAAGAGGAACCGAAGCAAACTCTGGTGTTTGGTGCTCGAGTCACAAGCACAACTCGACCAACACCGTGCGATCAACCATGCTCAACGACGCGAGCATACAGACCATCATCAACACCTAGATCAAGACCATTTAACACAACACCATTGCCTGCACCACGCGTTTATACAACACCGCGAGTTTTTACGGCGCCTGTTGTGTCAAAACCAATCGTATCAACGCCAGTCGTTTCAACTCCTCGTGTTTTGACGACACCTCCTACTTTCATTACATCAACTGTAACTCCCGTTCCAGTTCCATACAAACCAATCGCAACCGTCGTTCCTGTTACAGAAAAACCTGTCTACATTCACACTCACTCGGAAGTACCCGTTGTTCAAAAGGAATACGTGCAACTACCACCGAAGATCATCAACAGACCTGTCATTCACAAAGAATTCGTACATTTACCACCACAAATCCAAGTTGTCGAAAAACCAAAATTGATCCATTTGCCGCCACAAGAAAAAATTGTTCCGGTTGAAGTGGAAAAATTGGTTGTGAAAGAAGTTCCAATCAATAATATTATTGAAAAACATATCGAACATCCACCGACTGTTTTGGAAAAATTGGTGCCATATCCCGTTCCCAGTAGACCAATCGAAGTGGAAAAAATCGTTCAAGTTCCTGTTGATCGTGTCGTTGAAAAACAAGTGCCGGTTTGTAGATTTTTCCCCGAATTTTCTTACTTCTTCTTCCAATTTTTTTAATTCAACTTATTAACTTTTATTCTCTTCAGCAGAAGCTATTTTAGCCTTGGGTTTTTTCCATATTTTATCTCCCAAATCCTCCATTGTTTCCATATTCTCTCTTTTGACTTGAAAACAATAATTCACATTTTCTCAAGTAATAAGTAATTTTTTTTTTCTTTTTTCAGGTGAATCATGTCGTGGAAAAGCCTGTACCATACGTCCAATATGTCGATCGACCCATTCACATTCCATACATTTTGCCCGTAGAAATTCCTGTGGCTTATCATGTACCCGTGCCTGTACATGTGCCAGGTGTGTATTCAATTCATGTCATTTTTATTAAAACGTACATTTATTAAAATTTACTCGATGTTAAAATTACTATTCAAAATTGAATAATTTAATTATTCGCAAATTATTTGGGTTATTGAACAAAACAAATTTCCATCTTTTTAAAACCGAAAAAAAATAGTGAAACATCAATTGCCACCGCCGTTGCCACCACAAAAGTACATAATAAAAACCACAAAATATGGCAAAGGCCATGGTTTATTCGATTGGAAACATAATCATCTGAAGCATATAAAACATGTCATAATAAAAAAGCCGAACCACATTTTCGCCGATGATATCATAGCGCCGCCAACAATAGATTCCATGGGATTATTACCGCCACCGAGGTAAATATAGTATTGTTTACATTTTGATACTGTCGTATTGTGTTTTTTTTTATCACACTATGTGATTTCAGTTAGTTGTGTATAATACCCGTGTAATTGATGATAATCGTTGAATAGAATTACTCATTTTATCGATAACCGGATATTATCTAAGCCACTGGTAACAATAATTGACTAGATATAACAAAAATAACACTTGATTTCGTTAATTTTCACAGATTTCAGCCATTCATTAGTGACAATTTCGGTCCACAGGCATCGGCATCAATAAATGTGGTTTCAGAGGTTTTGCCAAACGCCGTGCACCACAGCAATCGTGATCAATTTTTTGAACCATCACCAATTCACAATGGTTTCGGCAGCTACGATAACAAATTCAAATTCGTCGATACATTTGCAAAAGATATTCGATGGGAGTATGGAGGTTTTAAACCTCCACTGATTCCGTCCCTGGAAATTGATTCATTTGGAAATCCACTGAATGAACATTAACTGAAACTATTGCAGAATACTTCATATAATAATTTGTACATATTGAGAACTGTCGTTAGCTAAATTGATTTCATGTTGTCACAATTCAATTAGAATAGATTCATTTTACCCAACCGTTTGTTGCATTTATTGATTTTGATCACTGAAGTTTTTCCGTGGTGGTCGGCCAAATTGTGTTTCTCGAAATTCGGTTCGAATCGATCACCAAAAAAAAAAAAAATCAAACGATGTATCTATCAAAATGTTGATTTGTTTTTATTTAAGTTTTAATATCGATTTTTTTCTTGCATAATTTACATAAGTAATAATACTCGTATGTTTAAGAAATTATTGACCTAATCAATTTACTACTAATTGAATGAGATTTAAGAAACAGTGTGTACTAATGCTCATCTAACGCATAGAATTTAAGTTTAAGACTTTGTCTTTTTCTTTCCTTTTCTATTTTCCACATTTAGTCTGTATATACAATATTTATTTCTATGATGAGATTAATAAAAAAAAAACATTGCTTTAAAAAAAAACTGAACAAAAACAATTCAGTTCTTCAGTTTGGTATTGATTCGATTCTATCGAATAAAATGACTCGTTTTTAATAATTCTAATTTTTAAAAAAATCGCTTTGGATTCATTGTGTTTCATAATTTCACATTTAATAAGGATCACTTTCCGTGTTGCGTGCACGTAGAACATTCATTTTTTTTGTCGTGTTTACTATAATAGTTTAAATAAGTATCTATTCAGCTAACAATTGTCGTAAATCACATGCATTGTCATTAAGATTCAATGGATTTTTTTTGTCGTTCATTGCCGGCAATAATATGTTTTTTCTGCAAGGCAATCGGAATTATAACAACTAAAACAACAAAATCCAATTCCTAAACTGTCTAGAATTGTCATTTTTAGTCTCCTGATTCATACAATTTCAGCACCGCCAGCTAAAACTAGATAAAGAAGTTTTTTTTTGTGATAAAAGTGCTTCGATTTGATATACATATTTGGTTTTTGATGAGTATTCTTCAACGGGAATAGTATTTGCTCTGTTTATTTGCCAACACGATAACGAAACCGATTTGTACTTCCCATTGTGTTTTTCTTTTATTTACTTTGTAAACACAAATCAGCAAATGGATGGCGTTCTATTGTTATCGCAATTTCACATATTTTCTTGATTAGTATGGATTGCTTCAATTTTGGAATAAAAAAAAATTACTATAAATAATACAATCGCCAAACACGTGCTGAGTAGTCTCTTTGGAATTTTCGAATAGTTTTTATGGCCCTGTTCTGTCTTTTCAATATCAGAATTTCATTTTAGAATAATTTAACATGGATAAGAATATCGAGATAAAAACGACCGAATGGCATGTTCACAAGATTTCCTCTGATATAAAAATCAACTAAATGAAATCCATTTCACATTGAACACATTTTGTAGCGTGGCAAATAAACTGTCGGTAGCTTAGGTAATAGCTAGAACATGTGTAAACAGCTTATGAAGTTTGACCTCTTTTTCTTTGTAGACAAGCGAATTCAGACCGTCTGTATTGTATCGTAAACTGCCGTTTCGCAGAAATGCCAGACGATTCTCACTGGGTAGCTCTTGTTCATGTTTTAGCATTGTGTATTGACTGTGATCCGGTCCAAAGCGGCAAATTTCCAAGTTTTTCGCCTTAATCCTTTCATAGAAATCATCATCTTCACCACCCCATCCTGAAAACTATGAATAAAATGCAATTAGATTTAGCGTGACTAGCATGAATTTGATGTATTGACTGAAAAATAATAATGTTCAAACATCAATAAAATGTAATTTCCTACTTATTAGCCTTCCATTAAAAACCAACTCAAACAAAAAAAAAACATCACTACTTAATTGGAGTTCTAGTTTTGAAACGAACAAAAAAAAATGGAATTCAATTTGGGTTATTTCCTCTGAATTTTACCTTATTCGACATGCCGTTGATGAATTGAAAAACTTTAGTTTCTATGGAAACAACGCCACCAAACAAACCATGATACAGTAGATTGAAGCGAAATTTGTCCAACGAAGAGCACATGTGTCGCGGTCGCTGAGTGCATACATACAAATTGCCCAAATTCATCGGCATCAAATCGACATCGTGCAAAATGAGGCATGGAAAATCCAATTGGCTAGCATACACCGATCCAATATTGAAGAGCATCGCTCGATTAAATGGCTTTTGGTCGTATTGCTCGATCACAAAGATGCGATAATGAATGAGTTGTTTGCGCAAAAAATTGTGTATATAGATGAGAAATGCGTTTAGCTGCTGTTCACGTTGGCGATACACAACAATTACGGCCGTACTAAATTTCGGAGCACATTTTGATGGCATCCACTCACCGCCTAATCGAATATCACTGCCATCAAGTAGCGTACTGATATATGGTTCACGATACATAAAATGATTTTCTTTTATGACTTCGTTGTAATCACAGCTCAATTTGCCAGCCATCTGGTGTGACACATTTTGTGTGGTTTTTTCAACGAGCTCATCGTAAATCTCGTCGGTTGGTATGTATGGGTAGTGCGGGGCATAACGGTTTGGCCAGACACAAATTAAAAATGTAACAAACACGGTGATTCGTAACCAATTTCGACGTAAAAACTGTACGAGTTTCACGAGAAACGCTCTGATGTGACCAACACTCTCACAATAGATACATTTGAATAGATTCAGCCGCATTTTGCTTGTGTTTTAATTTTACCGTTCACCGAATAATTGGCACAACGCGTGCAATTGAAAAAAACACTGCAATATGCAATACACTATGATTTATTTACTGCTGTCACTTGGTAAATTCAATTGAAACAACTGAAAAAAAAGTCACCTCTTGTTTTGTACACAAGCACAACGGCAATGTCCTCATGAAAATTTCGCAGTCGCGTGATAAGTGTGAATGATACCGAACCGGTCGAATGGAATGACAGGTGAGAAATGTCAGTGAATGATGTATTCAACTGAGCCCGATGGAAGAGAAACGGTTTTGAATAGAGGAATTTCTTTGTTTTCAATAGTTTTCTATGAAAATTACCGAAGAAATTCTTGGGAAAATGATTTTTCAGTGCAATTCAAAGGAATTTTCATTTCTATGACAATAGCATCGAAATCGTTTACATTTCCAAGTGAAAATATTGAAGAAAGAACTCAATGGAAACGTCCATGGAAACGTGTGAACCACACTTTACATCAATTCAAACAAAGCATTTGAGCGGTTCAGAATTCACAAGAAAACATTCAATATGTCACACGTCACACCCAGCGTTCAGTGTGAACTGCTCTACTGTTGTGTGTATGCATGTATAGTAAATGCTAGTAACACACAAAAAGACCATTCTGTTTATATACGTCACTCAAACATAACAATAATAAGAACGGAGCGAGACGGAGAAATAAAGACAAGAGACGACACACACAAAAAACTTCATCCTCCATTTTGATTTTTTTTTTTCCACAAAGCAGTTCTTCTCGGTACTGTCTCTATTCGTAGGAATCATTGTTAGTAAATTGGCTAAATTAGTGTTTATTGAACGAAAAGTGTGGTAGAAATTAAATGTTTTTAAGTTTGTAAACTTAGACCAAAGGTTTCGATTGGATTTTGTGTGAATGCCTAATGTCAGCATTATCAAATTTATATTTGGGTGAATCGAGTGAAGCGACTATTTACTACAAACGACCATACAGTCGCTCTGAATTGGACGAAGACGAGAGTGCTCCGAAACACGACAGAATGGATGACGAAAATAATCAAGATCGTGAACGATTTGCCAGTCGCGAAAATCATTGCGAAATCGAGAGAAGGCGACGCAATAAAATGACTGCTTATATCACCGAACTATCGGATATGGTGCCAACATGCAGTGCATTGGCACGTAAGCCAGACAAATTGACGATTCTACGTATGGCTGTGGCTCACATGAAAGCATTGCGTGGAACAGGCAACACAAGCAGCGATGGCACCTATAAACCATCATTTTTAACCGATCAAGAGCTAAAACATCTGATTTTAGAGGCAGCTGATGGATTTCTGTTTGTTGTATCGTGCGATGAAGGTCGAATTATTTATGTATCCGATTCGGTGACACCAGTTTTAAATCATTCGCAAAATGATTGGTTCAACACATGCTTCTTTGATCAAATTCATCCGGACGATCGTGATAAGGTACGTGTTTAGATTTGCTTTTTCTTTAAGGTTAATAAAATGTTATTATCATCAAAATTTGTAAATAATAAAATTTATATTAAGATTTTATCTCAATGAATTTCGTGATCGATAAAAAATCACTCTTTTCGTTGTGTATTAATGAATGTAAACATTTCTTTCAACGTGAAATCTATAGGTGCGTGAGCAATTGTCAACGCAAGAGCCACAGAGCAGTGGTCGTATTTTGGATTTGAAGTCGGGCACTGTGAAGAAAGAGGGTCATCAATCATCGATGCGCTTGATGATGGGATCACGGCGTGGTTTTATTTGTCGTATGCGTGTTGGAAATTGCCATTCCGAAAGCCACTTGAATCGCCTGAAGCAGAAAAACTCGCTCGGACCAGCCGGAAATGATGGTATCAGTTATGCCGTTGTTCATTGCACTGGTTATATCAAGAATTGGCCACCAACTGATATGTTCCCCGGTGGTCATGGTCCACAAGACGATGGAATGCATTCGCACTGCTGTTTGGTGGCCATTGGTCGTTTGCAAGTGTCATCCACTGCAAATTCGGCTGATTTATCGGCCAACAATCCAACTGAGTTCATTTCAAGGCATGCAATTGACGGAAAATTCACATTCGTTGATCAACGTGTGAAAAATGTATTGGAATACATACCAACCGATTTGCTGGGCAAGAGTTGCTATGACTTTTTCCATCCGGATGATCAAGCGCACATGAAAGAGAGCTTCGATCAAGTGTTGAAACAAAAAGGTCAACATTTCTCGCTGATGTATCGCTTCCGGTCGAAAAAATGCAACTGGGTTTGGATTCGAACACAAGCCTATGCATTCATGAATCCATACTCGGACGAAGTGGAGTATATTGTGTGCAACAATAGTTCGGGCAAAACGATGCACCCGCTGGCAACTGGTAATACTACACCAGACAATGAACAACCGTATAATCCATCGGCACCAGCACCTGGAATCGATTACACACTGCAACAGCAGCAACAACAACAGCCCGGAGGCAATAATGTCTACAACGCACATGGAATGATGTCACACATGTCACCGCAAGCGAATGTTGTTCGACCGAACAGTGAACAAAATCCAGTTGGCTATGGATATGAAGCCACTCAATCGCCGATTGCGTACGGAGCAAATGCGTCTCAACAACGACAACCAGTTTCTGAAGGTTTTCAATATCAAGTGAGCCCGTCACGCTCACCAAATGCACCACCAACCTATACACAATTGAGCGGATCACGTGCTCCACAACCACCGCAACCACATCAAAATTATCATGCAAACCAACCGAATCCAGCAATGTGGGGCTGGCAAACAAATCAAGCGGAACAAGGCCCTGTTCCAGTGGTCACCTCAGCCGGACCGGCTCATCCAACCAATGCTGGCAATGGGAACAGCGGTGAACTCACCGAAATGCTCACCATGCTCGATCAGAGCGGCGGCACCTCATTTGAAGACCTTAACATCAACATGTTTACAACACCATTTGAATAAGTATATAAAAATCAATTCCAAGCTTTTTATGTTTATTTTTTATGATCTTGAGCTAACTTTTTTATTAAATTTTACTGATAAGAACCCTGTGCATCGTGTATGTGTGTTTTCGATATTATTATACATTTGGCTTTATTCTCATTTTTTTTCGGAACACGTTCGGTTTAAATAGATAAGGTTCAAAATTACAAAGAAAACAAATAGTTAGTTTAAAGGCAGCTGGTCGCGTGTTTTATCAGTGTTTCAATTTGCCGTTTTTCTCCTGACCAAAAAACAAACGTTTTCTTTTTCAGATAACCATTCAACTTATAAGAAAGCTAGAGAAATTTATACATCGAATATTTTAGACTTAATTTTCCAAAATAAACTTCAGAACTAATCTACAATTTATATTTGATTTTATTGATAAAATGATTTGGATAGAAGTGATAGAGAAAAAAAAAAATGGTCAAAAAGACTATATCAAAATTTGCTGAATGATATTCTCTTCGAAACGAGAATAAAGTATCGAATTGACCACATTTGGTTAATGGGCTTATGAGGCGAACAATTTGTATTTCAGCTAATAGATTATATCATTATATTTACACCACAGAGAAAAACAAAATCACAAATGAACATATTTTCATTTAAGTTTAAGTACAGACATTTTTATTATTTCTTTCTTTTTTTCTTCCTTTTCTTCTATTCTTCGTTCTTCTTATTTTTTTTCCCCTCATTTAATTCATAGTTATCTTTTTCCTTCAATCTAAGGTTCATATTAACATGCAATACACATTTTATTTGAATAAATCAGTTTGTTCGTAGAATTAAATGCGATTGTTTTTATTTCGGCCGTATCTCAACACGTAATGATATATTTATATACAAAAAAAAAACTGGACTTATCTACACCACGCATTTTTATTTTGTAAAACTTTTGGAGGCCTCGAAAATCTAATATAAATTTATTTTCTAGCATTTAAGAATCTATTTGTATTCTAAACATTACTGATCAAAACCAATCAAACGTTTTTTGTTTTGTTCTATCTTATTTGGAATAAATCACGAATGAAATCTCTCTGCAACAAATGCCATTGTGTGTTTTATTTTCGGTGTTTTTTCAGCTGAATCATTCAAGACCGTTTTCATCATCATCATGAAACAATGTGTGTTTGATGTCATTTTTATGGCACACACAAAGATTATTTCTTATAGAAACTTTGTAATATGAGAAAAAGAGAACAGAAATGGGGCCACAAACATTGTAATTTTACGACTTCGTTGCGTTACACATAGCTTTCAGATCATGGAAATAGCTTGCAAGATTGAAATACTTATTGGAACTGCAAAAATGATTCGGATGTGCAAATATGGCAATAACAAACAATAGAATATGCAGCGATGATTTCGACTTCATTTTTAATGAGTTACTGAACAGATTAACTTCAGAAAATTATCCATTCTGATGGAACAATAAAAAATAAAAGCATTTGACATACATTTTAATACTGATATCACAATATATCAGATCTTTATTATAAAAAAGTTGTGAATATATTTGTCATGGCTTCATCTTGAAATTTCCCTTTTGGTATGCATAAATTTTACTTCAATTTATCAAAAATAGTTCAATTCCTTTGATTATTATGATGGAAATATAAAAATATAAAAAAGCGATAGAAAAGTTATTAAATTCTGTCATAAATTCGATATTTGCGGATTGGAGCGATGAAACGTTCGTATTCGTTAGGGTTCATCAAATCGACCCTTTCCATAGTCTTCTGGAAGTATACACCGTCAAATTGTGACAGCCCCTATAAATTAGACAAAAACCAAGATATTTAATAGATAATGTGCTTTTAAAAATGGATTAAATCATCATCTGCACCGAAACGTTCAAACCCGCAATAATAAAGCACTTTTTTACGTGTGGAAACGTATTATTGTAAATATGAGCTGCTCGAACATGTTCAACGCTCAACTTTTCGGGGTATTCCAGTTTTGCATCAATAGCTTCATATTCAGTGTACAGAATTCCATCAGCCTGTTTTTCTGTGAGAAATTCTTCCTATTTTGAGACAAATTTTTTTTGTTGTTGGATAGAATACTATTGGAATATCACTGAAGCTGTAGAAAATGAAACCGAAATTACCTTTACCAAAGTATATAGGGTGGTACTGGTGAGGAGATATTTTTTTGGAAGCCTTTTTATTGCTGTAATTTTTTCATCGCTCATTGAAGAGATAAAACCGAAAATTGTCCACTTAATTTCTCGAATATCTTTGCAAAGATACAGTTCTTTTAAAGGCGGCACTTTAACTGATAATAAATCTTCTGTAAAAATCGTGTTTGTTTTATAAAGAAAATCAAGGCATTACATTCACTCGGAAAAATAGGTCTTCGTGGAGATTGCTGGACAAAAGTTCCAGATTTATCCTTCATTAAACATTCGAACATCAAAGATTTGTCGTTTATTCCTTTATGTATAACGCCAGCACTTCGTAACTTCCAGTCCATGAAGATATTGCTGATTCTTATTTGTTCGTCGCTGGGCATATCACACATATGCAGTGGGACAGATAGCAATCGGCTCAATCGGGTTTTTAGCCTCCATATAAGCTCGAAAAATGCCAATGTCACCATTTAAAAGTTTTTGCTCGATTGGATCGATTGGATCATTCTTAGGAACAGCGTCGAGATTGTACGAATCAAGACTTTCTTGAATCAACTGAATTGTTTTATGTACATCTTTGGGCTTAATGACATTTTCGACATACTGTTCAATATCAGCATTTGAAAGAGAAATTTTTTCCTTTTTCACCCCACGCACACGCTTGGCAACTATTTGACAGACACCTTGATTGTTATTATGAAAAGGTGGAAATCGGAAATGATTATCAAAGATAAAGAAAGATCTACGCTACGAATGAACAAATAAATACTACATACCACTTGTGAGGCGTCTTCCTTTATATATATTACTAGTAATATCATTGCCACATAGGGTAGCAAAAAGTGGTAATTGATGATTTTCCAGGGAAAAAGGTTTTCGTGCAAGGTAGTTTCGATCATATTCATAAGTGGTTATTATGCCATTTGCTTCAAATATAAAATCATCAGATGACCAGAACTTCCATGATCCTTCGAAAATGAGAAAGTCTGTATCCTGTGAAATAATGGCCAATGCATCGTTTTCTTTAGCATATTTTGCTAGTTCCCAATCACAATCATGATGAGCTGAATAATAAAAGTCGCCAAATGTTTGTGCTTTGACGGCTAGTGCATGGTTGACCGATTTTATTACCCGATTCAGTCTTTCTCTTTCCTTTTTATCGATTTCCATTTCCCATATAATTTCATTCAACATTGTACCCTTCTTCATTAGATCATATACATTCTTGTAGATGTCCTTGTCTTTTTCCAAACCGTTCCAATTTTTTTACTGATTTTCGATCTTTCAATTTTCAAATCGGAAAAAAACACCAAGTCACATCCAGTGCTCTTCAGTGCTCGTAAATTGTTCCCCCAATTTTCGATAAGAATTTGATGACGGCCACCACAAATAACATCTTCTGTCTTAGCAACACACCAATTGGTTGCGCTCCTAAAGTCAATAACTATTTTGGGAGTTTTACCAGGGTTTTCACTGTTTAAAAATTTGGTGAACAAAATAATATCATATTCAATTCTAGAGCAAATATCAATTTTGGGATTTTGTGATCTTACCTTTTTCATTCTTCGATTTTCTCTTCAATATTAGTTCTACCTTCAGGGGGTGGATAGATTTCCTCCTCAATCATAAGATTTGTCATGCCCCGAATTCCCATCTTTTTTTCTTTTGAACCAGTAAATATCCTACTTCCAATCGTGATTCAACCGAAATAACCAGTAATAAAGCAACTATAGAACCAGATTGACATGTATGCTATTTTATTCTAAAAAAATGCGCGCTGTCAAATATAAATTATTCATCAACAACAATACAATATATTTAAAAATAATTTTGAACAAAGAAACGCGTACCTACTATAAACAAATCTCTTTCAACAACAAAAAAACACCCATACCAATACATATAAGATGATTGTTGTTCGAAAGATAACCGTAACCTCACTTCAAGTAGTTCGAATTGATTCCAATGGATTGTATTGCAGCCAAATGACATTTGCCTTTCCAAAAAAAAAAAAATTACAGCGAAATCATGCGATACACACAATTCAGACTCTGAGTTTTAGGTGGTCGATTCAGTCGTTTGTCAAATGTTGTATGCGACGCACGAGAAGATCTTCTCAAAGCCGTTGATGCGCTAGAACCCGCATTCTGAAGAGAGAAAAAAAAAACTCATTGTGTGAGAAAAAAAAAAGTTCAGTCTCAATGCCAACTAAGGTTTTGGCCATTTTGTTTGTAAATTTAATCGATTGTAATTGTTGAAGCAAAAATATTTTAATGGACTATATCAATTGAAAACAATAAATATAAATTGAAATGGCTACAAGTGTTGAATTGGATCCAGTATTCCGACAAGCTTTGAAATTTCTGCATTCGCCCAATTCGGATGCGGCAGAGAATATACGTAAAGCGCTCGATGACGTGATAAAACAGAAGCATGGGCCAAATAAAATGTTGATTAATACATTGAGCAAGAAATACATTGCGGAGGAGAGTAAGGCAACAGGAAGTGGTGTTGTAAAAGCGCCTGTAAGACGCTCATCAAATCGTTCCAGTGATTCGAGTAGTTCGAGCCCAGTGCAAATCATAGCTACAACGAGTACAACATCAACAACCACCGTAATAACGACCGATTCAAGTGGCCAAACGCAGGAAATTCCAGTGATTATTTCGTTGCCCGATACAACCAACAGTGCAACCATTGCTGACATCGATGATAATGCAATGGATACGAACATACACAATAGTTTATTCGATGATTTGGCCTGTGTCATTTGCCGTCGCATCGATTTGAGTGCAAAGAATCGTTTGATTGAGTGCAGCAAATGCACATCGTTGTATCATCAAGAATGTCACAATCCACAAATAAAAGACTCCGATTTGGTCAATGGACAAGAGTCATCGTGGCGCTGCAGCAATTGCAATGTGAAAAAGTTCAAATCATCACATTCGACCGGTTCGCCGAGTAAATCGAATAATTCATCATCACCAACGTCATCAAGCTCCTCAAATTCGGACGTCATAATTACGGGCAGTTCAAGTGCAAATTTTGGCAGCCATTCATCGTCGAGTAGCTCAAAACGAGACAAAGAGCATAGTTCGTCGTCGTCGAGCAAATCGAAAAGATCATCGTCGCGACATCATTCGCATCATCATTCATCGTCACATCATTCGTCGAAACATGAACGATCCGGTGAGAAAAGTTCGGAGAAGAGTAGCGGCAGCAGCAGTGGTGGCGGCGGCAGCGGTGGCGGTGGCAGTAGTAGCAGCAAAAGCTCGGTCACTCCAAACATTCATATCATCAGCGCGGATAAACGTTTACAAAACATGAAAAAGAAAGCAGCCAAATCTCAAGAATCGAAGCGAAAAAAGTAACACGATTTTTAAGCATCGATTGAACAAGAAAATAGTTTTTAGAATTCCTTTTTTTTTCCTTTGGTAAGCATCCTATATTGATCATGCACGTACAATTCTGATCTTTACACATACACTCTCATCACCCCGTTTTTTTGTATATTTTATTGCATTGGATTTTTAATAAAGAGACATTTCATAAATAAATACAAACAGCTTTGTGACTTTTTTTCTCTTTCATTGGCTATATTTTATACAATTTTTTTTTTCTCGAATAATTACAGTATCAAGTGAATTCTCCTTCTGTTACATAGAAACCGATTCAGTTTTAACCATTCGACGAATCGGCTTGATCACCGAATAATTTCAAAAATGAACTTTTGTCCTTGGGTCAGAATGTTGGTGCATTTAGAATGAATAACATCTCTTCCTCCTTTTTGATCCAGCTCAACAATTTGTTAACCAGCGTTATAACGACACTTCTATCGACAGTTGGTTCAAACACAGCGTACAATTCGTAACCGGTTGTTATCTGGAAAACATGTGATTTTAAATGAAATGATGATAACATAAATTCCATTAGAATGGTTTCCGTGTGTGTATTTACCCAAGCTAAAATAATTTCCTTTTCATGTAGTTGATAAATCAATTTTGTTGGCCGATTGCTATTGTGTATGCGATGATGAATATCATAGTAAAGAGATTCCAATCGATTGAATTCCTCTGGTGTATTGTACGGTACGGTGATTTCGGAGCACAAGAGCTGAGCATTCGATTTGGATTTGTATAAAAAATGACGAATTTCAGGTATTCCAATCGTACGTAAATTAATCCCTTTGCTATTCATGGCATCGTTTATTACTTTCAGTACATTACTCCGCCGCAATCTCTGTCAATGTAGTATAAAATTTTTCAGTTTAAGTAAACGTGAATGACAATTGTAAATACAAATGAGAACAGAAAAAAAAACGTGTATTTGAACGGATCAAAGTTTGTTTACCTCGGTAATTTTTTGCTTCGCTTCTGACAGTGTGAAGAAGACGTCTTTTTCCACTGATAATAAAAGCAAACACGCTTGACAATCGTCAGCTAAATATGAAACGTGCGCATGCAGAAAACCATCAGAGTCGAATTTGGGTAAACAAATTGGTGTCCAACTTTCGGCCGACTTAAAACTCTCTGAGCAATCGACTAAATTGAAAATTAACCTGATGATTGGAAAAGAATCAATTAGTTTTGCATATTTGAAAGAAAATTACTTAGAAAATTGGAGATTTTTATCACAAATCTACCTTAAATCTGCCGGATGAATAAAATACTTTTTCATTCTAACTAGTGCAATTAGTTTATTGTTAGCAATCAGTACCGCAAACACTAAATTCTTAATTTTTGAGCAATTTTGTTGAATCGCTGTGATAATCGACTCACGCACAGCCGAGGCCAGAGCCAAAATTCGAACGGAGTGTGTCAAAAATATGAATGGATTATTTGAAACTGCAACAAAAATGGATCATTTAGAAAATGGAATTGTTCGAAGCAATGAGTGAATTTTCACACGGTCTTACTTTTATTGCACGCTCGTTTTTGGCTGTCATTCGTGAGAAGGTGATCGATAAGACGTTCACTGCCCGCTAACAGTCGTCGAAGGTCGAAATTTTTTCGTTGATCGAAAATTTTGGTCATGTGTGACAGTGTTAATGTTGAAAGTATTTGATTATAGACATCGCTGCATTGAAACGAAACAAAGGGGGGAAAACATGTTTGTTCAGTATGACGTTTTCATAGATATACTTTGTAATGGAAATTAGTGAATTGATAATTGTTTTTTTCTTCCTTACGTTAACTGTAATTGGATTTGTTGTACACTTAGATTTCGTCGTGACGCAGCAACTAAAATGAGCGGACCTTTCATTAGGAATACAAATTTTATACCAATGGCATGAATGCTCATGATCACATCTTGATTGGCTTGCACAACACTCGTCAACGCTTGCATAACCCCATACAGAGTAGCCAGTTTGTCTTCGTTGCCGTGCAAAGAGTAGATTGGTTTGCCCGCTGAACTTAAAACAAAAAAATGTTCGCGTTGATTCAGCCATTCGGGGTCATGTAAATAGTCACCGGAGAGAGTACTGTCGTCAGCATTTTGATCGAGCAAGTCTTGACTGCCAAACTCACTCAACGTACTGATATTCGATGATGAAGCCTTTGTATCACTTGCAGCTGTTGTGTTATCTGGCGCATTTCCCTGAATCTCATTGATGATTGACTTTACTTTATTGGCTGCCACTGGCGAACCATCTTCTTCCAGGCTCGCACTCAACTCTTGTGAAAATTCTTCAAAGGAATCGGTCGTAATTAGCATGCTTTCATACGCAGTTCCAGCTGCCTCTTCGTATATTTCAATCTCTTCGCCCGCACTCGTTTGCAAATCACTCATTTTTCTCACTCTCTCTTTAAATCCGATTGTGCCACACTCGCTAATTTCAAAATCGAAATTATCTCACCGTCAATTAAAAATGTGCAACACACGAAATTATACACCCATTTTTGGATTTATGAATAAATTATATTTGCGTTCCTTTCAATTCTTTTTTTGATAACAAAAAAAAAGAGTATCAAATCAAGACTGACACATATTTACACTGAAACAATTGTGTACATTTGTGTTGCTGTTGTATTCTTTGACTTTTCGCAGCGAACTGGAAACAAATGCGGCGAATTGCAGCGCATTTTGACATTTCGAATTTACTCAGTGGCTTGTATAGACTGTATTGTCGTGATATAGAATAGGTCTTGGTCAATCGATATAATAAAAGAAAGAAAATCTTCAAATTGTTGATAAATTTCCGGAGAAATCGCAGCAAAATGGCAATTTATTCAACGATACAACAACAAAATGCCATCAACATGAAATACAAGAAGAAGCTCAAAAAATTGAAGAAGTTTATTGAGAATTTGGTCTTTGTGAGTATATCCAAAGCCTATTTTACTTTACTTGAACACAACAAACGTTCAAGGAAATGGCTTGTGTGAAATTTTATGTTTTTATTTTTGTTCGGTCCAATTCTATTTCTTCCTGTTTATCATATATGCTAATGAATTGAATGTTTTTCAGGAAAATTCTGCATTGTGTGACCAAGTAGCACAGGTTCAAGAGAGTATTGTGACCGTGAAAGAAGAGCGTCGTTTTCTGCTCAAGCGGCTGATGGACAAAGACCATGACTTGGCCAAGGAGCTAAGCAAAAAACAGTCGAATGACTCAGGAGCACCAACTCAATCTACCCGAAAACCGTACAAGAAACGAGCCAAGAAGCAACAATCCCAACTATCGGAAACAGTTTCGCTTGATTCAAATGATGCACCATCCTATCCGATCGATTTGGGTGCACTGAAAATTCTGAGCATTGGTCAAATCATTTACGATCGTTTGAATTATCACACGGAGAATTGGATTTATCCGTCTGGATTTGTGTCAATACGAAGCTATGCCAACATCAAAGATAAAGATGAAAAGTGTTTGTACACATGCCGAATCACGGAAAACGGTGAATTTCCACGATTTGAAATCATCCCTGAGGCTGATTCAGAGTTTATTATTGCTGGTCCAACACCAGATCTATGCCATGCAGCTCTCATTCAAACCATCAATGAAAACACCGGACAGAATCTCGAGCTACTAGCACAAGGCGAGTGGTTCTTCGGTTTGACTCATTCAACCGTTACAAATATTCTGCAAAGTTCGCCAGATATCAAAAAATGTTCCAAATTCAAGGGATTCAATGAGAACACACACTTGATCGATCAAAATACGGGGCATTCCGTTAATTACGCATTCGAAAAAGATATCGC